TTTAATAGCTCTAGAATTATCATATTAGAATCATAATAGATGCATATAATATAAATATATATTATTTAAATTTTAATGTTCTTTTCAGTCATTTTATATTTAATTCTTTTTTCAATTAAACATCCAAACAAATTTCAGCTTTTTAATTGATTTTTTATAAACATCAATCCAAATATAAATCACACTATACTAACTTATTTTTTCTCTAAATTAAATCTACAATAGTCAATTTGAAATAAAAGTCAATTTTGTTAAAAGCCGCTTCAACAGTTGGACGTCATCTTTATGTTTTCTTTACTTGCCCCTGCATCTCAGTTGTTTAAAAGCGGCCTAAGGGTGTGTTTGGATTAGCGGTGGCAAAACTAACTTTTATTTCATCTGACTTTTACAAATGTAAGTTAAGGTAAAAGTCAATTAGTGTAATGTTATTTATATTTAGGTTGATGTTGTAAAAAAGTCAATTTAACAAATTAAAACTTGTTTGAATGATTAATAAAAAAGTAAGTTTAGATGTAAAATGACAAAAAATGACATAAACTTTATTCAATAATACATATTTATATTATATGTTTTTAGTAAGATAATTGTTAGAGAATAATTGAAATTAAAATTATAAAAATAAAAACAGTTATTATTGAGAAAATTTTGAAAATAAATTTCAATTGTTAAATATATATAATAGATAAATATGAATATAAATTAAAATTTATTGAAATTGAAAATTTTTGAATTAAATAATTTTCTTGTTAAAAATAACGTGGTTAAATATTTTGTTTTATGTTAATTTGATTTAATTTCTTTTTTTCCCTTCACTAGATACATCAAATCATCAATTGTGAATTTAGATCTAAGGTTCAGCATAAAGAAGGAACACGTGGAATTAACACCCCCAAATGGAGATCACAAGTTGGAAAAAAGGTTGGAGGGAGTAAAAGCTTCTGGTCTTTTTACCGAGAAGGCAGGCTTGATGAACTGCAAGGACGCTTGAGACGGGGGCTAGTTCATGCGATTGGATCTTCTGCTTCAAGCGCAACTTAGAGAGAGAGGTCGCTGTGCACCACCGTGATTCTTCTTGTTCAGTTTCAATGAGCCTGAATGTGTGGATGAAAAGAGAAGGGAGGGGCAAATTTGAGTGTGTAAATGCACCTGATAGCAGACTGACTTTTGCAAAGCCCACCGTAGCCCCTTTTCATGTTTGACGGTGTCGTACTTTTTCTCCATAAGTTAGATAGAGAAAAAGCCAATCCAAACAAGCTTTTATCTTCAGATAAGCATCTAACCCACATTTTTCATTTTCTCAAACACATTTGGAACTCTCAACAAAGATCCAAATACACGCACCTAATAGGATACTGACTTTTGCAACGTGCAACATTCCAGTTTCTTTTAATTTTATTTTAGGATTTAAATTACATGTGAATGAGATTACTTAACAGTATTTAAAATTAAATCTTATTAAATAAATTATAAATCATAAATTTTGCGATATATATAAATTAAATATATATAATAATAAAATAAAATAAAAATAATATATATTTTATTTTTTTAAAAAGGCAAGACGTGCCACCCACTGCCGTGAGGGGGGTTAATCCCCCTCATGGGCTGTAGCCCTTCAAAATAAATTTAAAAAAAAGAAAACATTTCAATAGTGGGGTCACATGTACTTCTTTTGTTAAATCTTATGTTTTTGCCTCCCTTTACCGCATATATTCTTTCTTTCCCTGGTTCGTGCCTTCTTCCATCGACGAGAGTGAGTGGGTGTGAGAGGGAGATAGAGGGTCTAAGAAAAAAAGAGTTTTACTTGGACTCAGGACATTTAGGTAAGCTATTTTCCTCTTATTATTTTTATTTAACTTCTCTTTTTTATTTTTGTAAGTTTATGACAGAAAATAAAATGTATTAGGGCTTGATAGATTTTTTATCTTTGAGGCTTCTGACTCATTATTATGATATTAATAGAACTTATAGGGCTAGAATAGGAGTTTTATTACTAGATTTTTATTTAAATGGTTGATTTGAAGAAATATAAGTTAGGGTTTGGCTGGAAAATTGTGGATTGTGATAACGGTAACATTAATTTTCAATTTGATCTCTTAGTTTAATTCATTGGAGGTTATATTGAAGATTTAATGTTTAAGCTTTGAGGATTTTGCTGGAAAATGAATGTTGATGATTGTTGGAGGGACTTTAACTAGTGAAAGTGGGGTGTTTTGATTAAATTGGGAAAAATATTACTCATCCGGTTCTTGATATAGGACCCAATTGTTTAGTTGGTTTTGGTCTTAAATATAATAACCATTTTCAATTTTTTCTAAATTACCCCTATGGATACTCCCTTAACTATAATTAAATAAAAGAGGAAGAGTGGGCATTAAGAAATATGATTATGATATTTTAAGAAAAATATGTCACATTTTTTATAATTAACTAACTTACGTAACTTCTTTAATCTAATCAAATTAGTTAATGGGTCTTATATTAAGGACCGGAGAAATATAATTTATTGATTATAATGAATTCGGAATGATAAATGGAAGAAGGTAGTAGGATTATAATGATAATTTGAGGCATGTTTTTAAAAGTACTTTTACGATTTATAAAATAAATATGTGAAGGAGTCTATCTCGTTTTGCGGAAAAGTGCTTCTTACAAGCATTTTGAGGGTTGCTAAACAGGCAAACACCTAAGATTTAAAGTAAGTACCTTTTAGGAATCTTTAAGATTATTGGAAGGAATTATCCTTGTTAATAATTTTAATAAGTGAAATACAGTTAAGAAGTTTTAGAAATTGTTATTTAGATGGATGATTGGAGGAATAGAGGAATTATCATCCTTTTTCCTAAAGATTTTTTTTTTAAAGTGAGCTAGTAAACTATTTAATGTAGTTTTTTTTAATTGACGTATGTTTATAAATGCATTATTGTAGAGTGAGTTTTGTTTGGGTTTTTGGGTCTTGAATCCTCCTATTTTAGTTTTTGCGTTAAGAATTTGAGGTAACCACATTCTAATTTACCTTGTATGCTTGTTGATGTGATTATAAGCACGTGTTGATATTATAAATGTTATCATTATATGTTATAGTGTTTCATGTATAAAAAGTGAAAAAAAATGGAAATTTATGTTTTGATAATTTTGTTAGTTAAGTGGGCATGAATTATTTTATCTTGTGATTATCCTATGGATGTTGAACAAAATTTGATCATTGAATATGAGAATATTTTATGAATATTGGATTGTGTGAAATTGGATGGTTGAAATGTTTATGAAGCTGCATTAGGTTGCACTGAAATGTAATCGTGGGAGGTTTGGTTATTTTATACCACCCGGTATAGTCTTCACTTGGCGCCTAGTGGCTGACTTTAATATTTTTAGGACCCTGGGTATTACCCTTCCTTTGGCTGGGTTAAGGGTCAGCCCAAGGAATATGACACATTTTTATATTCCAAGGAAAGGGACTTCATTGTCCAATATGAGCTCTGTAACTTTTCACCGAGTTACACCTCATTATTGGAGAGCTTGGTGCAGTATTGTTAAAGAGACAAGTCCTATTACGTGTGAATAGCCCGCGGGTTCTGTCAGAGGTTACAAAGAGGTTATAAGGATGGTTGATGAAGTTCTACGTATGCAAGTTATTTTTTGAATTATTATATATTGTTTTCCATAAAGATGTTTACACTACATTTCATTCAAAATTATACTTCGCCCGCTTAACTATCTTGTAATTACTCCATGTATACTTGTTGAATTGGAATTGTAGTTACTAGGTCAATTTGATTTACCCCATGGTTATTTAATATTTTCAGGTGAGAGTTCAGGTGTTGGTTCCAAAGGAAAGTTGTCTGAGGCTTAAGTTTCTCTTTTTGCTATATATAGTCTCTGTTTTATTATACATGCTTTAATTGATGTATATTACCAAATTTTATGGCCTTTGTTATACTTAACACATTTTGAATTTTCTGCTGCATTCTGAACTTGTGCTGTTGGATAGAGCCCTCTTGAATACATACTACTTTTATTTTGGTTGTGATTATTATGGGTGATAGTAGTTGTATTTTTGAGATTCCAGAGTTTCATGATAGATTTGACATATATGTGAAAATCAAGTGTTGGTTATTTCTTGTTATATTAATTATTTTGACTATTATGAAATAGTGACTACTGCTTTGTTATAGATATGAATTGTTAATGATCACGGTAGACTTTTTTTTATTAGTTTTGTTCTTTTTATCATAGTTGACTTTTTAAAATAATTAGCGAAGTCTTTTATAATTATAATAGTTTTTCATTGTATGATTTATTTTTTCTATCATAATTATTACTTAAATACTTTTGGTTAACTCTTTTCGATTACATTCGTTATTAAAGAATTAATTATTGCTTTGGATGTGAGTAATGGTGTACTTGTTACGGGAGCTGTTACACAACACTCACCGTAGCCCCTTTTCACGTTCGACGGTGCCCTGCTTTTTCTCTATAAGTTAGATAGAGAAAAAGTTAATCCAAACAAATTTTTATCTTTAGATAAGCCTTCAACCAACATTTCCCATTTTCCCAAGCACGTTTGAAGCTCTTAACGGAGATCCAAACACACGTTAGGCCTTGTTCTGAACAACAGCCTCTAAGCTGTAATTTCAGCGAAGGCTTCTACCAAACTTATTTTCTTCCTATTCCTCCTCTCTTTTTTGCTCTCATTCTGTCAACAGCCACTTCAACATGCCTAAGCGCCCTCCAAAAATCATAACATGAGAATATGAGCGAAGAGAAATGCTGCTTGAGGTTTTTTTTTTAATTTGGAGAAAAAAAAAAACACGCAGCACTGAGGGGAAGACTTGAGTCTTCACGCGAGGTTGACTTGACTGTGGCTGTACAAGTCAAAGTCGTCCCTGGAGTGGAGTTGCGTGGGAAGGAGTGTGGAAGGAAGTAAATGGACCCTCTCCCTTGACCTTTTGGCAGAGATAGATGTAATGGAGCCGAGCGGATTGGCCAGTGCGACGTGAGCATTGCCTTTCATTGGCCCATTCTCATTCATGTGAATTTCATTGGCATAAACGTAATTACGACGAGAAATTGGTGCGAAGAAACGGGTTGAATCTCTATAAATATGCCGTAATCCTCCACCTCCACTTCGCAGCGATATTTGTATTGTCCGCGCAAATGGCGGACTGTGCTTTTTCGTTAACGGTTAAGAATACTGAGGTTAAGAAGCTTATCTTGCTCTTTACTTTGCTCGTTAGCCATTTTCTCGCGCAGGTTTCCGTTTCCGAAATCATCTTTGAAGAGCGATTTGAAGGTACTCTCTTGTGCCCTCACTGGCTCAATCTCCATTTTATATCTTCGACTCTGCATTCCGTGAAAGTTATACTATCTCTGGTTCACCCAGAAACCACTTGAAAATCAATGCAAAATTTTACAACAACTATCTATTGCTGCTGAGTACGTTCTACGGCACTTCTTTTTTACCATAGTCCAATACTAATTACGAGTCCATTTAGTTCCTTTCTTTAACAGATTTCATTTCAATTTGCTTTGCTTTCTCTTTCTCAACAGTAGAAATGAGATTGAGCTGGAGCAATCTCTTCCCTCCTTTACTGAATTTTCTTGAAACCCAATCTCTGGAAACGCGCTGTTATGATTATATCCAATACCTGCGGGGTTTCCTTAATTCGAGATTCCATACATTTCCTCCAAACTATTTTTGTATTCTGTGCTCGCTACGCTTCGGCTAACATATGAAACAAATGTCTGGTTATCTATTCATGGTTCGATATTGGACCTTGGATGGTTTCGGTTTATAATTAAATTTTAAAACTTATATCGATGATGTGCTCTTTGATTTGTTGGTTAAGACGGCTGGCAAACTCGCTGGGTGAAATCTGACTGGAAAAGAAGTGAAGGTAAAGCTGGCTCATTCAAACACACTGCTGGAAAATGGGCAGGAGATCCAGATGACAAAGGTACGGTCTCCGAAGTAATAGCTTCTTCTTATATGTTTCCCACTAACTATTAGTCCTCGTGAGAGCTTTGGTCTTGGGTTTCATCAATATTTTATCAGCTGATCTGGCTCTAGCTACCAGAGTTTTTGTCTCATCTATCTAAGCCAAAAAAAGTTACTTGAAAGTCGTGTTACATTAAGTTGGGAGGTCATATAAATGGCATCGTTCGCGTCAATCATATTGCCGTCAATAACAATCTCTGCATATAGATCGTGAGTGAGGCGACCCTTCCCTAAAATTTCTTTTATTCACCAAAAAAATAACCATCTGCACGGGAACAGTATTCCATTCTTGTCCCTAATATCCCGATTTTGTCGCTTTTGTCTGGGCATAGGAACATAGTATTTTACCGTGCCCACTGCTGATCATCTTTATCAGTGTCTTGTGTTTGGTCTGCCTCTGAACTTAGGTACAGTAGAGGAGCGCGCTCCTTTATCACAGAGTTGCATTGCATGCTGTTGTAAGACGTGATAATAATTGAAAAACGTCAAACGAAAAAAAAAAAACAACAACGGTGATGATGATAATAACTCGCGCAAACTTGTTGAAGAATTAATGAAACTGACGCTATCGGGATATTGGTGAACATAGTGATTAACTTATTATTTTCCTTTTTCATAGGCATTCAAACATCTAATGATGCCAAACACTATGCTATCTCTGCAAAGATACCCGAATTCAGCAACAGGAACAGAACCTTGGTACTCCAGTATTCTATCAAGCTTGAGCAAGAAATCGAGTGCGGTGGAGGTTACATAAAGCTCCTCTCTGGATTTGTTAATCAGAAAAAGTTTGGTGGGGATACTCCTTATAGGTTTGTTGCTAATTGCACATGCTCTACTTACAATCCTCTGTGAGGCACATCTTTTGACAAACCTGTGAAACCTAAATAATCTCGTTTATAAAAAGAATCATATACAATCTTTTGACAACTTACAAACCTGTTAAAACTCTCTTAGGATATGGATATTATTATGCGACCAGCTTTATGACGTGTATTGACGGCTGTCAGTGGTCAATACATGTCATATCATAATGCTATTATACCGACGAACCTCAGCAAAAGCAAGTTTGTATTTTACGTATTCAATATTTTACTCAAAAGTAATTTCAGGAATAATTCAGGCTTGGATCTCTACCTTCAAATTTCTGCTCATTCGCGTTTTAGTTTATCGGTATTAACTTATTGGATCCTGTTGATTCAGTTGAATGGATTTTCCGTTCATCTTTTACCATGTTTATCAAACACTTGATTGATTCCCTCTTCAACTACCACTCTTATTCTGTGAGCTATTGAACTTGTCTCTCTGATTTTCACTCGTAACCATGTCTTCCAGCCAATAGGATCTCAAACTGACAAATTCTGTGCAGTTTAATGTTTGGACCAGATCTATGTGGCACGCAGACAAAGAAGCTTCATGTCATAGTCTCCTACCAGGGCCAAAATTACCCCATAAAGAAGGACCTGCAATGTGAAACTGACAAGTTAACTCATTTCTACACATTTGTTCTCAGGCCGGATGCCTCTTACAGTATCCTGGTTGATAATAGAGAACGGGATTCCGGTAGCTTATATACAGATTGGGATATTCTCCCTCCACGAAAAATCAAAGACGTCAAGGCAAAAAAGGTTTAGTGATTCTTTAGCGTAAAATAATGCTTTTGGAGTTCTGAAAGTGCCTCCAAATATGTCTGAGCTCAATTTTTACTGCAGCCATATTTGCATTGTCCCATTCATAACCTGTTGCTCCTTGCAATAATTTTATGTTCCTTTTGAAAATTTGTCATGACTCGTAATTTGAAATTAAAATCGATTCCACCTCACAGCCTGCTGACTGGGATGATAGAGAATACATTGAAGACCCTAATGATGTTAAACCCGAGGTATTTAGAATTCCATAACATACCAATATAGTGGTTCAGTGCGCGAGCATAGAACTCTCTTTTATGTGAGCCTTGCTATTGCAGGGATACGGTTCTGTCCCAGCGGAAATAGCTGATCCGAAGGCTAAGAAGGTTAGTTAGCTCAGTGCACATTAAGAAATGATTCTACAAAAATTATTTAGATTTATTGGATTTTCCAATTTAGATGAAACTTATTGGGGGTTCCGGACTTCCGGTTGCATCCATATATTCCATAACTGATAACTTAAGTTCTTTTTTTTTTTTCTCCTTCGGTTTGATGAGAAGTTTTTATTTTACGATTTAACAAGTTTCATAATTCATATAAAGAAATTTAAAGGAAGGAAAGCAGAAATCTCATACTTAATTCTTCCATCTGGTTAGCCGGACAACTGGGATGAAGAGGAAGATGGTATATGGAAGCCGCCAAAGATACCGAACCCAGCATATAAAGGGCCGTGGAAAAAAAAGGTTTGTCGATGATCCTTCACCCCAAAAATTGTAAATATTTTATGAATTTTCGAATTAAGCATTATCTCCCTTAGTCATCACCTCTGATCTGACAGAAAATCAAGAACCCTAACTACAAGGGGAAGTGGAAAACTCCATGGATAGACAATCCAGGTATGAAAGTGATCAAGGATATCTCGTGGGTTTATTCAGATGTTCCCTCCGTTAAAAATTTCAAAGCACTTTAATAATTTACATCTCAATAAGCTAGTAAATGACTTTTGAAATTGATCATTCTTTCGTATCGAGCCTTGGGTATTTAATAAGGTTTCTCAATTAGAAAAATCTTATTAATTACACCCCAATTAAGGACATTTTTTTAAAAACCTATTAATCACACCTAGAAAAAAAAAAAAAGAGAAGCGAACATGGGTGCTTAAATTTCCTTTTTCACTCAGTCCAAAAAAATAAATTCCTTTTTCACGTTACAGAATTTGAGGATGATCCTGATCTTTATGTGCTCAAGACTATCAAGTACGTGGGCATTGAAGTTTGGCAGGTAGGACAATTTTATTAATTAACCTCAATGAGAAGCCATTATTTCAATATGGATGGCAACAGTTAATAGAGCGAGGCGAAATATCTGTGCTTCAGGTGAAAGGGGGCTCGGTTTTTGACAACATTTTGATTTGTGATGATCCTGATTACGCAAAACAAGTAGTTGACGAAGTGTTTAGTAACAGGGAGGTGAGGTTTTCTTTTTGAGAGGTTGACCTGCATTAAATTGAGATCCAAATCTGTCAGACTAAATTGTTTGCGGTGTTTCAGGCGGAAAAGGAGGCTTTTGAAGAGGCGGAGAAAGTGAGGAAAGCCCAAGAAGAGGAGGTAGATACAGGGGAAACATACTCTGTCTAGTTCGCAGCAGGTCCTCTTTTAATGATGTAAATCCATGTTTGTTCAGGAAGCTCAGAGGGCTAGAGAAGAAGGCGAGAGGAGGAGGAGAGAGAGGGGGTACGATCGACGTTACAGGGACAGATACAAGGACAGATACAGAAGGGTTTGTATCATTCCCCAACGTATTCAATTCTGAATTAGTTGGGTTTATTATAAATAATCCTTATATACTACATTTCTAGTTATAAAATTTCATTTATAAACTATAAATAAGATTTTATAATTAGAACCAAAGTAGTATTATCTAACTAACTCCGTTCCAGTGACTCGGAGGGTATGCTGATTAATATTCTCCGGCAATGTTTTTATTGTGCCTATATATAAATTCGACTTGGATGCTTTTTTATTTTTCATTTGCGTCTAGACTTTCTCAGCTGTTTCTTTCCCTGCAGCATCGCCATGATCACCTCGATGATTATCATGTAAGTGTGAACGTTTTCGGTGAATGTTTTTCACGCAATGATGAACCTTGCGTTTATTCACTATGTTTTGTGAAATAAGTTTACTGGGTGCAGTTAAAGAAGACTTTCTTTGATGTGCAGGATGAGCTTTGATGGGATCAGCGCTTGACGCCCCACCGCTATGACTCGGAATTGGTGCGGCGCCTCCGTTTACTATGGCAGGAATCAGAAATTCCTGAGCTCAGTGGCATATCCATTCCAAGTTCCTGTTATTTTCTTTTTTTACGGGCCATACATCCCGCTTTGCTTAAATCTCTGTTGTGATGCGAGTATGCAACGCAGTCGAACATATGTGCAAACGTCGTCTACTGTCGCTGTCTGTGTGTTTTTTAATATATGTAAGAATATCTCAAGCTTTTTGTGGCTGACACCCATGGCTACTCAAGCTTTTTGTTCATTCTGTTCTTCTTGTAGCTCAATATCCCCCGCCTCTTCTTTTGTTACTACTGTGATGCTCTTGGTTTTTTAGTTATATCTTTGATCATTTTACCCACAAAAAAAAAAGAATATCTCAATGTCCTATGTTAACTGAAACTATATTGAATAACAATTTTTAATTTTCAGAGCGAAAGAGGTGATTTGTGCCCAGTTGTTGACACTTGACAGTAATGCTGATATTATTGTGTGGCCTGCATATGGATGCCCTTAGTTATGTAGAAAAATCTGCCAATGCTGCACTAGCCTTGCCGCTGATTTTACTACTGAGGGCCTCCACCGTGTTGTGTTTGGGTGGTCGGAGATGCGGCCATTTATTTATTTATTTATATGTGAATAATTTGAAGGAAATAAAAAGAGTTCGATCTAGTAAAAATTGGAAAAAAAAAATCCCTCAGTAAGAATGATCTGATAATTTTTTATGCATGAAAAATATCAGTATTTTATAAATTTTGTGTACACACGGTATCAATTCTTAGTTCTCATGAAATTTTGGTCAAAATCAAGAGTGACCTCGTTAGGACTTAAATGTATCCCATTTAATGGTAAAAGAAATGGATGATGTTTCGAATTCCAACTGCTCAGTAACAATAGTACAAGATCATGCTTTGGTCCTTCCATACATTGTATGTGTTCGGCCCCAGAATTGTCACAACTTGGTTCTAGACACCATTAGGAGCATTGAATGCATTGAGCAAACGATTGCTTTGCAATGAAAAGACACTGCTGCACTGCACTTCGTTGCAGAGACGGATTGCACCTCTTCTTTGTCCTCCTTATTATTATCCATCAATATGGCCATCAGGATCCAAATTTAATGCCTTAATCAGGGATTTTGTTATCATCCTCTACTAAATCCTCCATGGGATGGGTGCTAGCGGTCAAGAAGTCCGGGGAGATCAAATAGTCCTTTCATTCTCGTTATGTTAGACCACCGCCCCACTGAAGAATTTTCATCGTTGCTTGATGATAACATCAATACCAAGATGGTAATCACAGTGCTCTTCAAGATCCTATTATGATAGATCACACTGGACATGTATCGGATTGTCTAGACAGTCATCTCACCTCACTATCTTACGCTGTTAAAAGGGACTACCCGCCAAAACAATTTGCTTATTAAATTTGTTGGATTTCAGATTCGCTCGAAGTTGATAGCTAAAGTAATACTAATATAATACCATGTTCAGTCTTTAATATAAGACCTTATTTGAATTTTATTTTGATTCTAAATATAAAACTCTCAATCTACTCTGTCTCTTATATTTATCCATTTTTCTAAGATGGTCCTTTTAGTAATGGTAGTTCTAGCCAATAAACTTGATTAGCAAGGATGTTTTAAGAAAGACAACACATATTTAGTACAAGTAACTAACTTAACTTACTTCCTTAATCTACTCAAATTAGTCAACTAACTTTTATATTTAGAACTGGAGGAAGTAGTTCGTTTGGTTTTTATTTTGGTCTTAAATATAAGATTCCAATTCATTTTATCTCTTATATTTATCCATTTTTTTGCTAATATAATCCTTGTAATAATAGTAGATTTAGCTAATACATTTGATTAGCAAGGATATTTTAAAAAAGACAATACGTATTTATTACAAATAACTAAATTAATTAGTTTTCTTCATTTATTCAAACTAGTCAACTAGCTCTTATATTAATGATTGAAAGTAGTATTGAATTAATAAATGATTAACTTAAATACAGTTAAGTTATATAAATTCAAGAACCGAATCAAAATTGTGTGCATTTTATGGTCTTTTTCTGTCATTTTTCTTATTTTAAAAGAAAGATGTTAATTTTTAAGATAAAAAATTGAATAATTTTTTGAAATTAGATGTGATAAAAAAGATAAATGAATTATACACTACAACATCATTAATAAATGTTAGAAATATAATAATAAAAAAATGAAAGATGAAGGGCGTGAACAAAATGAGTTCTCCTCTCATTTTCTCTACATATATGGAAAAAAAGATTTGGAAGAAAAATAAAGTGGATCTCACACTTTATTTTCTTTCTTTCCAATTTTTTCATCCTATTCAAACGGGTAAAACTCACTTGTCTCTAATTTTTCTCCTTAATTTTTCTCCATCCAATCCCATTGAGGGGTTAAAATTCTTCCAACCTCTATCAAAGTATAAGTCGTTTTTAATATTCCAACTAGCCACATTTGTCTATACATGGACGTAATAGCCCCGACTTTATTATTTAACAAAGGATCTATAATGAGGTGATGTTATAATTTTCAACCAACAGTAGAACTCATATGTCATTTTTCCCAAAAAAATACCTGACTCTTTTTTTGGCTGCCAGCATACTTTTACTCATTTTAATCAATGATATTATTTTAATTTTTTTTAAAGTAATGTCAGGCTTGGTGACGCTAACGAAGTGGGATGAACTTTTAAATAGAAAAATAATAAAGAAAGACCTCCTAATATATGAAATTGTGATTTGAGACTCTCAATTTCAAAAAAGACAAATAAAGACCCGGTCTCATATTTCAAATATAAAATCCTAATGAAATGTTCAAAATGCCTCTTAGCCAAGTTGTGATTTGGTCTATTAAAATTGTTATTAGCTAAAGTGAACTTATTATTTCCTATAGTCAACTTGTCATTTGACATACTCTCAACCAAGTTGTGATTTGATCTATTGAAGTTGTCATTCTCTAAAGTGAATTTGTCATTTCCCATAGTCAACTTGTCACTTAGCCGAGAGACATTTTAGACATTTCACCAAAATTTTATACTTACAACATGAGATCAGATATTTATTTGTTATTTTTCAAATTAAAAGCCCCAAATTACAATTTCATATATAGAGGGTCTTTATTTGCCATTTTTTTCTTTTTAAATTCATGTTTAAAAGTAATAATTGATAAAATAATAATTAATGCTGTTGGCAAAAAAAAGTAATAATTAATGCTATTTTGAAAATTTTTCATAAAAATATTTATGAATTTGCCAAGAAAAACATTTAATGTGAAAAGAGGTGCCTGGAAACCCTAAACCAAAGAGGAGTTGCCGCAGGAAATAGATTTGAACATATTTATTTTACAGCAGACTGGAAACCCCAAGGGGTAACGGGAAAAATACGATTATTTATTCTTTTTCTTTTTCTTTTTTTTGGTGAAAAAATAAAAACAGGTGGAGCGAAGAGGGGCGCAGATGGAAAAATGAAAAACATAATGAGTAGGGAGAGGGAAGTCGGGGAATAGTGGTTGTGTTTAGAACCCTAATATCGAAGGCTTCAGGGTTTTCTCGTTAGTGGCCGGGAAACATGGACGCCATTAGGAAGCAGCTGGACGTGTTGATGGGAGCTAATCGAAACGGAGATGTAAGAGAGATTAATCGTAAGTACTATGATCGGGACGTCTGCCGTCTATACTTGGTCGGACTCTGTCCTCACGAACTCTTCCAGCTAACGGTAATTAACATTTTTTACACGCTTTGCTTTGGCTGCTTTCCATAAAATTTTGGTGATTTGGGCAATTATATGTAGCCTATCCTTGTTTTTTCCCCAAAAATTCTTTTTTGCACCTACTGTCTTCTTAGGCTAGAATTTATGTGCTTCTACCATGTTCCTTTATTTTTGTATGCTCTACCCTGTCTCGACCTCTCTGTTTCTCATTCTTTTTGCTACTGAGTTTTATTGACTTTCTTTCAGAAAATGGACATGGGCCCGTGTCCGAAGGTGCATTCTCTGCAGTTGAGAAAGGAGTATCCTTTAACTCCTATGTGACGTTTGCATACTTAGGTGTTTCTTCTTGCCTAATACATTTTTTTAGTTAAGGCATTTTACCGGTTACTTATTGCCGCCCTCGTTCAAGCATGGTTCGTTGGAGTGTCCTGGCCTTATTTTAAATTTTTTTACTGGGCGTGAAACCTTTCTATTATTCACTAGAAAAGAAAACTCCGGTAAGACTGCACCGCAGCCAAGTGCTATTTCATACATCAGCAAATTTATTATGGCATGTTATAAGAGTGATATGCAGCTGGCGTGTTTTGATTCACGTTTCTAGATATTTCTTATTTCTTAATTCATTCTAGATATGGAGAAGCAAAAGCAAAAGGCATTGATAATTATGACAGAGAGTTAGAGGATGTTATAGATAAACTCATTGGTGAGTGTGATAGGAAAATCGGTAGGGCTTTGAAGCGCCTTGAGGATGAGGATGCAAAAGCTGCAGTTGCAATTTCAGTCTCTGATGTTACTCAGGTGACTTCTCAGTCATTGTTCATTGGCTCAGTGGTGCTGGGCTGTAAGTTTAAATAAATCATTCGGTTTAAAATATGCAGACGCCTGAGGTACTTGAATTGTCAAAACAAATCAAAGAGAAGTTAAAAGAAGCTGATGATTATGGTAATATTCTATATTTCTATTTCAATTGCTTTGTTAGGCGGGCTTTCTTTTAGATGATCTTGCTTTTCTACCCTTTAAATTTATGTTGGCATCTGTCTATATGGCTGTTGCTTTTCTTGCTCAAATTGTACCTTTTGTTCTTCAATTCAACAAGGGACAACAATGGCTTTTATAGTATACGTATGGTTGTTGGTGATATTGTTTTTAATTTGATGCACGTCTTAAATGGTGACTCTGGAGCATTTATTAGTTTTTCACCTGGGTGAAATAATTTCGGTTTTGTAGATCTTGAAGGCAAGACAGATCTCAAGATTCGAGCTCTAGAGGTTGTAGAAGAACTTAGAACGAAAAGAGCAGACAAACAGGTCAGTTTTAGCGCTGAACATTAATATGAATATAATTATTGTCTATCAATGCTGTAACCTGTCCTCCCTCCTTGGCCCATGAATGTCGTTAGATCTACCAAATAGATATGCATTTGATTAGCATGCTAAGAATTCTTTCAATTTGCAAACAGGCCATGCTTCTTCTGGATGCTTTTAACAAAGATAGGGCATCATTACCTCAACCTCTCTCGAACCCGCCTCCACTGGCGCCCATTCCTGTTGTCACTCCTGATCCTCGCACACAGGAGATGATAAATGAGAAGTTGAAGAAGGCGGAGGATCTTGGTGAGCCACTTACTGCTGTTACTAAATTAAACTTTTCTTGATCCTAGATAGAGTTTTAATGAGCTAGTGCATGCTCTCCGCATGCCTCGTGAATGTGAGAGGTGAAAAGAGAACAAAAGGTAGGATTTTTTTTTTTTGGGGGGGGGGGTGAGTCAGAATTCTAACTTCTGACTATCATGACTGATTTCCTTTGTCTGTCGCGCACCTTAGTAAGGGCTAGTTAGTTAAGAACTATGGCTGATTTATTCCTTTAACAATTGACATGTCAACAACAACTAACAGACTTAACTAACAATTAATATACTTGACTACTTCTCTTTACCCCATTCTTATGTCTAACCATGCTCCCTCGTCTGAAAAACCCTTGACCTCAAAGATTATTATTATTAAAAAAAAATTAGGGTACATTCTTTGAAAACTATGAAGCTGAACCCATGTGGCCTCGTCATCAGGTAAATCCGGCTGCTGGATTTTACTTCAGTTAAGGTTCTTCCATTTTTTCTTATACCACCTTTCTATGTAGATTATTTTGTTCATTTTAGGTTCAGCTGGCCAATTTGTTGAGGGACGCCTTTGAGTCGTAACTGAAGAATATAGTGCGCTGAATGATATATTTTATTTACTGTACAGAGCACTATACTTATAGGAGAGGAGAGGAGATCTCACAGAATCATCTGAGATCTTCCTAGGATACAATACGGAAAACATAATAAAGGAAACAGAATAATTCTATGATCCCTAAAATCACGGAATAATGATAATAAAGATAATTAACCCTAAGTAGCTGTTACTTAGTCAAACTAGAAACAAAGAACTGCTTTGGGCTTAATAGTGAAGGCCCACTTCCAACAGTAACTATCTTTCTTTCTTCTGTTAGTTTGCGATTAGTAGCTCTATTCAAATTATGCTTGATGGTAGTGACCATTTCCTCCTTTGCTTTAAAAGAGAAATCCACAGCTTTCATTGAAGAAAGAAGGGATATGCATGAGAGACTTGGGATGATAGCGTATGTCATAGGGTGTTGCTGAATAGCTTCATGGAAGGAAGTGGTATTACCACCATTCAACTAAAGTTAACCACCTATGCTTATTCCAAACAAAAAATTTAACTACCTATGCCACTTCTTAGCTTTTTCCCATGACTTGCATCTCAAATGTTTCCTAACGGTGATTGAATCCTTCAGCGTGCATGATAAGTCATGAAATGCATCTAGATATACTCACTGACACTTGCTCTTTGTTTCAATTGTGCATGTTCTTCCATTTGATCCTTGTATGCCAGTCCAAACCTTTTCTTGATAATTGCTCAATTCAGTAATTCTCCCAAGAAATCTAATGGGCTTGATGCCACTGAAATCCCTTTTCATCCAGACGTAGTCTTGCAATTGCAACTGTCATATCTTCTGGCATTTCATCCAACATCAAGTACATCTCACACTTTGACAATCAGCTTAGTATATCCTCGCTAAAAAAGTTTGGAAATTGTGTCTTTGTAAATCATATTGGCAGCTGTGTAAATATTAATGTAATTTAATGTTTCTTGCACTTCAACAAACAAGGATAACTTGAAACGTATTCCCGTTGTTGATGTTATGCAGTCCTAAAATATGATCAAATGCCTGCTTTCTCTTTTCTATTAGCCTATTTGCTAGATTGAGTTGGCTTTAATTTCTATGTTTGTTGAATAGGTGAACAAGGAATGGTTGATGAGGCACAGAAAGCATTGGAAGAGGCTGAAGCGCTTAAGAAGGTCTTTCATTCGGCTTAAATTTCTGTGGATTTATTTAAGTTATTGGCATCTTATTGAATTGATTGTATCCATGTTGATATTTTGGAATCTAATGGTATGTTTGGATGGGAGAAAAGTTAGGAGGAAAGAGAATGGGAGGTGAGAAAATGCAGAGAAGGGAAAATTGGAGAGATAATGTTATACTTGTGTTTGGATAGGCAGGAGAAAACATAGAGGAAAGAAAAAGCAAATATTACAATGGCGATGATACTCTTATGTCATATATCATGTCTCATGTCATTATCAAAATAAAATATTGAAGGCAAATGACTATAATACTCTTATGTCATATATCATGTCTTATGTCATTATCAAAATAAAATATTGAAGGCAAAGATCATATTAAAAATAACCTCATTAACTCTTTTTTTTTTTTTAAAACCAAACTATATGGTAGAAAAATATATTTTCATGTTTTCATGTTTTAAAATCAAATAATTTGGTATATATATATATTTTATACAAAGACGATGCTGAAAGTGGGTGTTACTTGGGATGAAGCAACATGCTTACCATTGAGTTTGTCATCCCTTGGCCTATAAACGTAATCTGTATTTCTATTCTGTTAGGTTATTCAACCTAAAAGTAATTATAAAAAAATTTCAGATTTTTTTTGGGGAAAAAGAACTTCAAGCCAAAATCATATCGAATAACTTCCTCCATTCCCATTCTGAAGGAAAATGTGGTTGGCCCACAACTCATTTTCTCCACTATCTTTCCTTCGTCTCAATTTTCGCTCATCAGCCAAACAGGGAAGAAGTTGGTTTCCCCTCCATTTTCTCTTGATTTTCTTTGCTCCCATATTTTCTTTCCATTCAAACAAGGGGTAAGTCTACTATCCATGTTTCATTTCATTTTTTTTACTTACATTATGATCTGATTTTTTTGTCTCAGCTTCCTGCTAGGCAGGAGCCAGTATTGGATGCTTCAAAATATACTGCAGCAGATGTGCGAATTGTGAGTTGATGTTTCTTTGTCTTTGTCATTTTGTTGATTCAATTTTTTTAATTTCAAAACCAAACCATGGTTTTAAAAGTGATTTTATAGCATATGAAGTAAATATGTGGAAGAGTTTGCTTCGATTTTTGTGAAAAAGCGCCTTTTAAAAGCACTTTTCTCTAATACCAGACACCCCTTTAGTCCTTAATTTGCTTAAGCTTTTGCTTCTATGTAAATAACTTGAGACTGAAACTAAAACATCCTTCTGCAATATAATATATTTGTAGAAGTCACAGGCACAGCAATACACCTTTTTCAAACAGTGTAAATGGAAAAAAGTGCCAAGTAGTTCCTTGTATTCAAGCTGCATCTTGTTGTGTGTTTTATTTATCATGTAGTAACTTTTTTTCTTTTTCTCATTTAACAATTCAGACTGATCAGAAGCTACGTGTTTGCAACATTTGTGGGGCTTTTTTGAGTGTGTATGACAGGTAAAATTTGAATACTGTACCACCTTTTCCCTTTCTTCTCTATCTTAAAACTTTCCTAAGGAGATATAGAGTTAGTATTTGGGGTTTTAAGCGCTTCAGCTTTTGACCCGTTAGTATTACCTCCTTGTCCCCAGCAGGCTCTTGTGCCAGTTTTACGAGGATAACTTTTGCAGCTAAAGAATGTGCGTCTTTTCTGTTTTATGCTTGTAGATCATGCTATACTCATCTGTGAAATTTATGGGAAATCTTGTATTTCTCTATGGCATCATAAAACTTTCGCCTTTTTTTATGTGAACATTTTGATCTGCAATTTTATTCACAGTGATCGCCGTTTAGCTGATCATTTCGGAGGAAAACTTCATTTGGGATATATGCAGATTCGTGAGAAGTTGGCAGAACTTCAAGTAAGATCTTTATCATATATTTCTGATCTTATGGAATTTATTTAAATTCTAAAACTGTGGATTCTTATATGGATTTGTTTGTTGAAATTTGTTTTCACAATTGTCCGAAAACAGTGGGTCATGTTGCTGTCTGCTTTTGTTTTTTAAATCGATAGTTGTTCTCAATGTTAGGCGCACAGGATTTTGGGTTTACAATGTTACAAGAGGTTGTTGATATTTTAATATGAATTTCTGGTTAATTCATAGTTAAACACGCAGATAGTGCGCTTATATGGCTATTTAATGTATTGAAAGTTACCGCCAATGAAAATAAGCAATGATTCATGCTGGTGCTCTTGATTTATCCACTATTTCAGATTCTCCATGTTTTATATAATTTTGTGGATATCCTAGACAGAGATTATCATTCAACTATGCAGAGTCCTTTGTTGATAAGTAAGCCTTTAAGTGTGTAGAGTCCAGTTAGATGATAATTACATTTCTGACCAGTGATGATCCTGCTTCGTGGCAAATTTGTCTCTTTTAATGTGGACTACTTTTGGCTAAGCTGTAGGGTTACTGTGTTATGAAGACTTTTTTTTGGGGGGTGTATTTCCCTTTTTTTTTTAAAACCTTTTTGGGGTGGGGGGATGGCTGTTCGCGAATTTCCATTTCATGGTCGGACATTTTCTCCAGTTGAATCTGCGGGCGGTTTCCGATTATTCCAAAATAAAAATGTTATAAGAAAGGGAGTGAGGAAGGCTCTCAAATCCTGAAAATTAAAATGAAATTTATAAATTGAAATGGTGGGATTGGCTTGGCATAGTAGGGGTTAATGTTTTAGGTATTTAGTCTGCTGAGTATGTAAATCATGCTATTCTTGCTTTTTTCTGCTACATCAACCCGCTAAGAATGTATTAATTTCTGGTTCAGGAGGAAAGGAACAAGGCCCGCAAGATTGACCGGTACGATGACAGGAGGTAATTTCTTTTGCACCAAAGGTGCAAGTTTATATATAGGCGTGTGTGTTTATGAGCTGCCAAAATCTTTCTATTAAGAAATATTTGCATTCATTCAATTTACTAAGATATAAAGAACGTAGTAGGGACCGTGACAGGGAGCCAAGCAGGGATAGGGAGCGTGGGGATAGTCGTGAGAGGGGGAGAGACCATGACCGCAGGAGCAGAGATCGTGATAGATATTATGACCGCGATCGTGGATATGATAGGGATCGAGATAGAGACTCTAGTCGTTCCCGCTCTTACGAGTCAAGAAGCCGCCGGAGGTCACGCTCACGATCAAGAGACCATGATCGGCACAGGTATATGGGATACTCCTTTTCGCACCCCTCGACTTATTGTTTCCTCTTGCTTTCTTATTTTGGCCTTCTCAATACATGATTTGATCGACGCTTGCATGTGTCTTGCAAGCACAGACAAATTAGGGAAATATTTACTGTTGAAACTCCGTTATGGTGCCCCCCCCCCCAAAAAAAAAAAAAAGGAAAACGTTATAATGTTTGCTCGTTACTCACCAATTATCATTTCTTGCCAGGCGCTATGATCGGTACTAGCAAGACTTGGCATGAATGTTGGCGGACTCTGAAATTCCTTCACTGTCGGGTTCTTTTTCCTGTTAGGCATGCTTCGAAGTAGCTAATTGAGCTTGATGGTGAAAGATAGCTTTTAAATTAGAGATGTTTCCTTGTTGACTATCTACTTGGAGCAGCTGTTCTTGCTGTAGAGGGATTTGGCTCAAAATGGTTGAATGCTTATTTGGTGTATTATCATTGACGCGTTGTCATCTGCTTTTGGAGCAGCTGTGATTTGGTTGATCATCGAACCTGCTTTAATACAAATTTAAATCTAGCCCGTGACCAAGATATACGATTGAGAATGTAGTTAGCCCGGGACTGGGGAAGATAAAATGACTTGTGGCAAGACTCGGACCTGTTCACCTCTTCATCATCAGCCATATATTCTTTTGGATTAATGTATCATTACGACACCAGCCTTTGCTATTTGCTTGTTCGCTGTCACATGAGTTATAATGTCTTATAAAAGAAATTCAGCATATAGACACAGAAAATAGAAATATAAATATTTTAGTATAAGTAATAAAACAAAGTTATCGATTTAAACTACTTTTCGCCAGTCACACCGGAAACAATGGCATGCAATCTTTAGATTCTGTACCCATATTCGACGCCAAGGCGTAATTGTGAACAACTAGCATAACATACATGATATTGAATGTAATCTCAATCCCAGAACATCGTGAATTTGTGATTGAAATAGGAAAGAGGGAACGCGGAATAACGCGGAAACGTTCATTTCCAGAAGGGCATACCAAACAGATGAGAATCAGATTTGTCTGGAAGCAGCGTCGGCAACAAAGGGGAGGTGCGGGGTGCGGCCCAACACACAGGATGCGACGCTGTAAAGGAAGCACACGAGAGTGAAAAGGAAGAGGACATTATGGGCCCAAACCATTAGGCGGAGGCCGAGTCCGGTGCGACCGGGGGTGAAAATCCTCTGAAGCAATAGGGGCAGCACCAAGAGGACGTCAAGGGTGACGGCTTGCATGGAGTTGAACCTGACATAGCGGCTGAAGGAAGGGTTTCTGACAACGCCCAGGTAGAGAGCGAAGAAGGCGACGAAGCTGGAGTAAGGGATGGACCTGTAGAGGGCGACAAGGGGAAGGATGGGATCGAAGAGAAGGCCCAGGTTAGGGAACTGAAGGAAGAGGTAGCGGCCATAGTGTAGGGAATTGAAGAATGGGAGGGTGTAAGAGACCACCGAGATTAAGCGGTCGGCAGCCGGCGTCGGAGTGGGGTCGAAATTGGAGGACATGCGAGGGGTGACGGGGGTGGATTTGGATTTAGTAGTTATTTGGAGGAAAGGACGAGGGACGAAAGGCTTAGGTTTAGGTCTTGGAGTAAGACGACAGGAGCGCAGAATCCCATTCCCAGCGGAGGCCAGCATCTTGTCGTTCACTTAACGCTGCGCCCTTGCACCCTCACTGCCGATTTTTGAAATGAAGTCCCGAGGAAGACGAAGCCGATTACTAGTTACGACCCTCCTCTAGGGCTTCCGAGTTAACAGTGTGTTTGGGCTCCCAGATTCGTAAGGTTATAAAAATTGCGGGTTCCGGATTAGGAGTATATGCATTTCTTTGGAAGGAGGGGGGCAACAAAAAAAAACAGACAGGGTTTTCCTGAAGTACTTTATCCTCTCTCAGGCCCGTGTCACCTTGTCATTTAGCATTTGTTGGCACGCAGCTGGTATACTTCATTTGTGAAAGGAGTGTTCGTAAAGTTCTTTATTACCTTTCGTTATTATTATTAGATGATACAAATAATGTAAAGAGAAGAATGAAATGATCAACAAATGTGCAATGCATTCAAGCCTCCTACTTAACCCGAGCAAGTGATGTTAAATTGTGTAGCTGCATGGTGATTTGGGGTTGGTTTGCCGATTGAAGTTGTTAAAACTAGTAATGAATTAATGAATCAAATGAGAATATTACCTCCAATGCATTATCGCTGTCTCGTTGCCAGTAAATTGTGAAGGCTTTGTCAAACTACTCATTATCGAATAAAATATTTTTTTTAATTGGTTTTTGGCCATGAGAATAAGATAGTTTATTGTGCCTCGTAAGTAAACATTTTTACACATTGATGCTCTAATCTTTCATCCTTCGTCAAACATATTTTTCCCTTCCAAAATAATATTGTGAAGTGCTCATGAAATCACTAAAATGTTACGGTGATGACATTTTTCGTGTATTTCCTATTTTTCAGTTGCACGGGTATTGAATAGACATGGACCTGCGTCCTCATCTATAAGCAGTGAAATTGTAGGTACTGACAGCAAGAAATTATCTTTACTTGGTTGAGTTGGTATCATTTCACCCATTTGAAATTTTTTAGATGAGATCAGATAACTTACCCAAATAATGCACCATTTAAACATTTTAGATGAAATAACTTAACCAAACAATAGACCATAAAACTATAATTTTTTTAATTAACCACTACCGCAACTCCCCTAGACCTGGCTCTGTGCTGGCCACAACATCAAGTGAATTGTATTATATGTTAACGGATGAAAGACTATAGCCATTAAGGCATGAGATGGGACCAAAAAAAATGAATGAGATGGGACTCTCAAAAATTTCAGCTCTCAATCACACAAAAAAAGGAACCTCACGCGACGTTTGGATGCAGAAATTTTGGATCGATATCGTAGGCAGTGGTGATTAATTACGAATCTCTTTAGATACACAAAACCAGAATCAGAATTCTCAATAGCAAATAAGAAGTACGCCATGACATATCATTATGAGCAGTTCTTAACTAGGGAAGAATGGGCAGCGTTAATTATCACTCCCTGTGAACTGGGATGAGGTTAAAACAGCATGAATACTAACCGCATCACTTCCTGTGAATTAGGATAGGTTTCTTAAGCTTCCCTTCAACTTACAATTGTATGAATACTCACTATCATATTTTTACAGATAGATATTTTAGCTCGATCTAACACTCTCGATGGCAAAGACTAAATCGTCAAATTTGGCCCCAGTGACTTCTTTTACAACCTTGCTGTCCTTGAGAATTTTAAAAGTTGGAACCACTCTGATTCCAAGCTCTTTTGCCAAGGGCTGCCAGCAACCAGTTAACCATCAAATATATATCATGACAATCATAAAAAAAAGCCCAGGAAGACAACAGATTCATTTAACATGCTCACCTTGTTTTCTTGGTTGCAATCAAGTTTCAAAAAGACAACATCAAGATACTTCTCGGACAATTCTTGATATTTGGGAGCCATAACTTTGCAAGGACCACACCTGCGAATTCAATAGCAAAACCTCCCAATTATCCACTCAGTATTTAGCAAGGGTGGTGCGGACGGATATACATTGAGGGCGTATACAAGGACGTCAGAATCAGAATAACCAAAGATGCGTAAAAGGATTACCAGGATACTAAGCAAGGGAAACCCTTGCACATCAAGTCGTCAACAATTAATCAAAAGCATGCTGGACATCCCAAATAAAATAAGCAGCTCCAACCCAAAATTATCACAGTCGAGATGGGAGGAATACATAAATGGAGAGGGAAGGGGCAGGTAATTGCAAGACGAGGAAAGGAAAGAGGAAGAAGTACCATTGAGTATACATGTCAAGGACGACGGTCTTATCACCGGCGGAACGAACAATGGGCCAGAAGGTGTCCTTGGTAACCTCGGTGACCTGGCCCACGGTAGCGGAAGCGGTATCGAAGCTGGCGCGAACGGTGAGAGGAAGAGGGGAAGCAACACGAGGGAGGCGAGGGGCGCGGGGCATGACCAGGGTATGCAGAGGAGACGAGACGCAAGAGGCAACCCCACTCACGGGATGCTTAGGAGGAAGACAGAGATTGAGGTTCAATACAGCCATTTTGATTTTGATCACGCTAGCTAGCTCGCTGGAGAAGAAATCCACCTTTCCTGCTCTGCTCTCTCTGTGGCTGCTGGCGTCGGCTATTTCTATTTCCGCTTCATTTCCCCAAAAGACGTCGTTGCCCCTCTCCTTTGCACTCCCTATCACAAATGCCAGGGCTGCCCCCGTCTTCTCGTCTTTTCAGAACCAACACAGCCCACTCATTTGCTTTCAATTCTACTATCCTCCCTTTGAACATTTTTGCCCCTCTAGTTTTTAAATATCTCCTGGTTTTCTGGGAAATTTCCAGCCCGTTCTTCGCCGAACAAATCCTTACAAGGGTGAATCAGTTATCAATTTATCATCGTTGAGCCGAGTTAAAAATTTTACAAGCTTTTCATAATAAAATTTTTAATTTGAGTTTTTTAATATTGTTTTTTCTTTAACGTAATGTGGCCGAAATCTAACGGGTGCTTCAAATAGCATTAAACATAAAAATTGGTGAGGTTTTTTTTTTTTAAAAAAAAAAGCCCACAAAACGATGGCGTGTGCCTCGCCTATTTTAATGGGAAAATCACAAAAAAAAGGTTGTTGAAATAGAAAAATTATAAATAAGAACCTATCATAATATTGGTATGGGTTTTGTGTGCAATTTTTCAATTTTAGTGTTTTTTAATGATTTTTTCTATTTTAATTCAAAATATATATATTTTGAAAGAGCGACTGATACCCTAAAATTAATAAGGTGAAATAATTCACTTTATTTTACCTGTGGCATCATGTTAACCGCCTAGTTGATATTTTCTGAAATCATCAGTTAACTTGCGATCCCATCACTAGTTCACAGTTGGTGTAAGCTAACTTTTTGTTTAATAGTAAGTGCCTAATTAGCAAGTTGTGTGGGTGATACTCCTCTGGTTGTCGCATTTGCTATTTCTTTCCTCAGTGCATAATCGCATTTCTACTCACACTGCCAGGGGAAGTGACTCCTGGCTACTCTGGTGGGTCTAAACAATATTTTCCCCCTTTCTTTTTATCTTTCTATTTGTCTTTTGCCCCCAAAAAAACTCTTCTAATTTCAACTCTCATATCGAGTGAGAGCGACCGAATTGAACAAAGGTGTTAAGAAAGTAAATTACAATAAAAACTAAATAAATGACAAAGATAAAACAATTTTGTATGTAACTTTATATTACCCCGCACGCATGTTAACTTCTGTGTTTTTCTAAGAAAAAATCACAAAAAATACCCATTTAATTTTAAAATGACAAATAGTTAATACTGACATTTTTATAAAATTACTTGTTTATTATTTTGAAATTTGATTTTTTTATTATTATTTTCTTTTCCTAATTATAATTTATATTCACACTGCTCCAAAACACTATTTTTTTAGAGAATGTTTAGATAGAAATTAAACCATGGTTTTAAAAATAATTTTATAGTATACAAAATAAATATATGAAAAAATTTATCTTGATTTATGATTTATTTTTTTTTGTAAAAAGCATTTTTAGGTGTTCTAAAACACCTCTTTAATCTCTTTCAGAGATCCAAGATAAGACACAAGGAAAGGTATATTTTAACAGATGAGGGGTAGTGGAAGTTACAAAGGCTATGTATAAAATTGGGTGCTGCATATATTATTTTGAGATGACAGTGGAAAGTGGAATAAATCAATAAATGAAAATGGGGTTAAGAGTAGGTTAAGAGATTCATTTTATGTAAAAAAAATATATTAAAACTAACTAGTTAAGGGTTCAATTTTATTCTAAATATAATATTTCAATTCACTTTGTCTAATATGTTTTTTTAAAATATCCGTATTGATTGTAAGAATTTTTTATCAGAGGATAATTTTAATCATCCAATACACATGATTGAGGAAGATATTTTAAGAAAACCAATACATATTTTGAACAGATAACCAATTTAGCTCGTTTTTTAATCTTTCCAATTAGTTATTTAGTTCTTTTTTTATATTTATGTGATTTTGCTATAAAAAAATTAAGTGATTTCAGATTTTGTGCCAAAAAACTTATTTATATTCATGGCGTATTTTTCCCATCCATGTGCTCGGCACTTAGTAATAGGTAGAATTATAATGAGATCTTAAAGAAGAAAAATAATTACAAAATAAATTTTAAAAGTTATTATTTTTTATTCTGAACTTGTCATTACAGACAAAAGTTGTTATTGAAACTTTTTAGTAATTATTTTTTTTATTGGGACCTCATTGTAATTCTTCCCTTAATAATAAGGAAAAATCTCCAAAAAATACTTCTAAAATTTTAAAATCTCAAATCAAGTATGATTATAAAAATATATTATCATTTACTTTTTAAATGTTATCAATTGCTATTAAAATATATTAAATAAAACTGATTTACAATTTTAAAATTTAAAGGTTTTTTTTTGGGGAAATTCTCTCCAATAATAAAGCCAGGTATTGCAGCGAATTCAAATCGAAGTGGCGGGCGAGAGGTGAATAAAAAGTCGAGAAAGACAGGAGAAGAGAACAGAGAGATGGGGACACCTGGGCCAAAAAACAATCAATTTGGCAATTAAACCCAAAAAAACAAAACGTAAGGTCAAGAGTGCATGCCAAATAGAGAAAATAACAACAAAAAACTAAAAATTACTAAATTTTAAATCAGGTGACTACACTTTATTTAATATTAACAATTTTAAATTTGTAAATAATTTACAAATAATATAATTTTTTGTTAGAATTTTTTATTTATTATTTAGTAATTTTTAGCTTTTTTTGTCATTTTTTCTGGTAAATATTAATACCTCTAAACCTTAATACTACCTCTGGTCTTTAATATAAGATTTTATTTAACTTTTATTTTGATCCTAAATATAAAACCCCAATCCACTTTGTCTCTAATATTTATGTATTTTTTTTCTAAGATAGTCCTTCTAATAATAGTAGTTTTAGCCAACACACTTGATTAGTAAGGATATTTTAGGAAAGACAATATGTATTTATTACAAATAACTAATTTAAATTATTTTCTTAATCTCCTCAAATTAGTCAACTAGCTCTTATAATTAGGACCGGAAGTAGTATAAGCCCAAGTTAACTAATTTGAGGAGATTAAGAAAATTAATTAAATTAGTTATTTGTTATAAATAAGTGTTATCTTCCTAGAATATCTTTTCTAATTATGTATATTAGCTAGAATTATTATTTAATAAAACTTTTAATATGTGTAGTTACTAAAATATTATTTTGAAAAAAATAATAAACAGAGATATCAAAATATTGTCCTTTTTTTTTTTTGGGCAAAAGAAGAGTGCATGCTAAATTTGAGAACGTGGCATTTGGCGTTGAAGTCGGGATATCCTCCCCCTCTTGGTATCTGCTACCGACCAGCCTCATTTTTTGCATGTTTCCCTTCCCTCTCTTCTTCCTCCCTTCCCATTTTCCGACCTTTCTTTCATTAGGGTCGGCATTGGATTTCTAGCCTCATACTATTACAAGAATGACATTTTAGATTGAATATTTGAATTCTACTCCAGTCGTTCGATCACTTTTTCCTTTCCTGTTTTGTCTCTTGTTCTTCTTCTTCATTTTTTTATTGTTATTATTAGCTGTTGGTGGTGATTTCTGACATTGCTCCCGCTCGAAGCAACAGCAGGGTAGAATTCGTTTGCAGCTCACGAAAATGGATCTCAGAGGATTGGTTGTGGTAGGCATATTATTTTTGGACCTTTATCGGGTTGCTTACGGAAATTTATCGTTTCCGGTGGTGCATAAATTCAAAGGTCGTCACAGGAGTTTAAGTGCATTCAAAGCTCATGATGATCGTCGTCGCGGTAGATTCCTTTCTGCGGTTGATCTCAGCCTTGGCGGCAATGGCCTTCCTTCTGAAACTGGGTTCGTTTCCACTTTCCTGCTGCTTCTTTTCCAATTCCCTGGGCTCGCAAATGTGTCGTTTTTTTTGTGATTTTGTTTCCTCGGGTCAATTTTCAACGTTGAACAAGTAATTGTTGTGGTTTTCTCAATACTCAGGGCTCAGCCTCAGGCTGAGATATAACCCCTCTTGCATTTCTTGTTTTCCAGCCATTTGATTATTTGCTTATGATGGACAACCGGCCCCCTTCTCCTTCTATTCGACCAAAGTGATTTATTTCACTAAATATAGTCAGATGATTGTCTAATGTGGTCTATACAATGGACTTTCATAATGGAACTTGGACAACAATTATACCTGGTTTTCTTTGCCCTTTTTTTTTTTAATAATTCAAGTACTAGAGTACTTATGTCTGGAGTTGGATAAAAGTGAGGATATAAGACGATGTCATCGAGGCACTCCACACCTTATGTGCTTGTCTGGCTGATTGCACTTTTTTTCCATTACTATTTTCTATTTTTCTGGATCTGAAATCTGGAGGCTGTTCTAGTGCGGTTATTACTGCCCCCTGTTAGAAATTTGTGATTATGTTGGAGTAGATGCTAATGGCTAATTTGTTTAGGCTATATTATACAAAAGTCGGGATTGGGTCTCCCCAAAAGGACTACTATGTGCAAGTTGATACAGGAAGTGACCTTCTATGGGTAAACTGCATTGAATGCACGGAGTGCCCCAAGAAGAGTGATCTTGGGGTGTGTACCAATCTACTCTTCTTCCACTGTCTCTTTAATCTCCACCAGAAATATAGTCGTATGAAATTTTATGCATATCGGTTCAGACTTAAGGGAGATAAAAAAAGTTATATCGGCCCCTTACTGATGTACTTCTCACTGCATAACTGTTTACATTACAGATAGAGCTAACACTATATGACTCAAAGACCTCCAATTCTTCAAAACCAGTTTATTGTGATGGAGACTTTTGCAAATCCACTTACGACAATCAAGTCTCTGATTGCAAGCCTCAAAAGTCCTGCCTATATAGTATAACTTATGGAGATGGAGGCACAACTTCGGGATACTTTGTGAAGGATGATCTTGTATTTGATGAAGTCAATGATAACCTTCATAGTGAACCGGCAAATAGTGGTGTAATTTTTGGGTGAGAATAATTTATAGTATTTTATTTCTGTAGTCATATAATGTTGACATCTAACGACTGAAAGCAGTTTTCTGGCTTTAATTTAGTCTGCTGGCAATGCTGTTGAGTTTATGGCAGGATTCTTGCTTCTCATAAGAGAACTGTTCTTGGATGTGAAATAATTTTTCGTTGTCCTTTGGCTAAATTGTTTGTGTTCAGTGAATTTTTCTGTTGCAATTTTGTGGCTTTTTCTTGGGGTATTTTCACCCTTAAATTTAGCATGTAATTTTGTATTATTTTTTGGGAATTCTTTGTCCTAGATGTTCATTGCTTCATAACAAAAGTTAGGTTGGGAGTTTCAGTATTTATTTTTTATTTATAAATATTTTGCTTCTTCGGCAGAGAAGGAAATTTGGAAAAACATAAAAAGATTGTTAACATTGCATCTCAATGCATTTTTTTTTTGTGTGTTTCCTAAAGTATTCTCTTGTGGATAGGTGTGGAGCTAAACAATCTGGGGGCTTAGGTTCATCATCTGATGAAGCCCTCGACGGAATTATAGGTTTTGGACAAGCAAATTCATCCGTGCTTTCACAACTTGCTGCATCCGGAAAGGTGAAAAAAATATTTTCACACTGCCTCGACAGTATTCGTGGAGGTGGAATTTTTTCTATAGGGGAAGTGATGGAGCCGAAATTCAACACAACTCCATTGCTTTCTGGACAGTATGTTCATCATCTTAGTTTTTGTTTCCACGCCATGATGTTTCTTGTAAATTTGATCAATATGTTGCTAACTGATTATGGTAATTCTCGACAATATGATGGTATTTATTTGATGATGATGCCACTACCGTTTTTTCAGTCAATAGATAATACCACTACCATTTTGACTTAAGGAGAATGAAATTTCAGTTCCAATGCACCTTACATTCTTTATTTTTTGACAACTTTAGCTCAAGGCCTTGTATGGCATTTTAAATGCAAGTATAAACTTTGAAGTTATCCAATACTAAAATTGCCAGTAATGATTATACTGAAATATTTGCATATTGTATAGCCTAAATACTGATTGGAAGTCAAGTAAAAGATGTTTGGAAGGTTTTATTCTTTTAGCCTCCATCTTGTTACTTTGAAACTGTCTTTTTTGTGATTCAGAAAATGAAGCAATCAAGCCTGTTAATTGGAAAGGATAACATTTTATGCATTCGGCATGCTGAAAGAATAAAACTCTTTTATTCTATTCATCCGCAGTTATTTTTTGTACTGTAGATTTTGAAATGTCTGAATGGAAATACAACTCTGTCTTTCTCTATTATTTTATCATACGTCCTTCCTTCCTTTCTTTATTATTATTTTTTCTTCTTTTATCAACTAAAAGGGCGAGTGAGTCCTCTAGGCAACAAAGGGGAAGATACCTTTCTCCCATTTTTTTCCCTGTTAAGGCCTTCTTTTTTCTTGAAAAAAAAAAAGGTAGGCTCATTCTGAGGTCCCTGACTCATAAAAGCTTTCAATTGCTTGTAGAAGTTTCTTCATTCTTTCAGGTTCTCATAAGGTGTTGGATTTGAAATTGCCATAACTGCCGTCTATTTAACTATTATAGGGCACACTACAATGCAGTCTTGAAGGATATTGAAGTCAATAAGGAATTTCTACAGCTTTCCTCAGGCATACTGGATTTTGGAGATGACATGGCAACTGTAATAGATAGTGGCACAACCTTGGCTTATCTTCCTGAAACAGTTTATGAACAACTAATAGACAAGGTAAATGTGTTTGTAATGATTGATTAAATTGCATGCATTTACTTGAATACTTATGATGGTGATTGTTCTTCATCATAGATTATGGCGGGGCAGTCTGGATTGAAGTTGCTTCTTGTGGACAATCAATTTACATGTTTTGAGTATTCAGGAAAGTACGATCTTCATTCTTTTGTCGCTTCCTTTCTCTTCGCATGTGGAGACTAAATTTTTGCATTTCTCATTAATACGAATAATGTCTTTTGTAGACAACATTAGCAAGAGATTTCTTTTTTTTTTTTGGGTTTAATTTGTTATTATTAGTTCTACTAACCAAGCAAGATACATAAATTAACAGGGGCCCTAGTCACAACTCTTTTGACTGTTTAGTCATGTGTTATGGTGATATAAGATTTTGATTTATAGATATCTTCTGAAGTATTAGTAACATAGGATTCTGTAACAATCAGGTATTACCAACAAAACAAATGTGGCATTATGCAGTAGGTTCACTTAGGATAACAGACCCCCCCCCGGGGGATCTTAAAATGCGGACTTGAGCATATTCATTTAGTGAAAGAACTTATTGGCCAGAGAATCATTTATTAGGTTCTTTACGTAGTGCAAAAAGAAATGATATCTCTGGGTTTTGTTACTTAACAAAAGCCGAAGATCATTTATTAGGTTAATAGGCATTGCTGATATCTACTGTCTTTCCCCTTGGCACTTTTTATGGTCTTTCTTATTTTACTTGCGTCCTTTGTCTGCTGCTCTGGAAGGGAGCTGTTGGGTGAATTGCATTTTACCCAACAAGTAATTTCACATATGATTAGGTTGACAAGAAGTATCTGTTCCACTTTTACAAAGAATCTAAAATGGAAAATTACGATGACAGAATAAAGCAAGTATTTTCCTTAGTCCTGCCTGACAGGACTTCAGGCAGATCGCATTACATCGATTAAATAGCATTTGGAGAGGTCAATTTTATCTGTTCATGGAGGCAATTAGTGCAGTTTTCTTTGACTTATGCAGACCTTAACTTCTTGTCCATTGTATTCTTTTGCAGTGTTGATGATGGATTTCCAGTGGTCAAGTTTCATTTTGAGAACTTAACTCTGACGGCTTATCCTCACGACTACTTATTCAAGACTAAAGTAAGTGGGAATTTGATCATTCACTGTATATGCACCAAGCCTTATTGTTTGAACAGCATTGTAACCTCTGGATTCTCAAATGACAAGCTTACCTTTATGCGAAAGCTAAATGATAGGCTGACTGAACGATAGAAAAGAAATCACAATTGGAAAAAAAAAATTGTGATATCTATTATATCCATGTAATATCATTTATTCAATAGTTTTATCTGTTTTTAATATTTAAAAACAGGCGCAAGGGAAACAAGTGTATAGAAGTGTAACTTTTTATCCATAAATATACTCTTTTCACTTTATTCTTTTTTTCATTTGATTCCATCTAAATATCTTCTAGTTGATGTTGACTATTAATGTGTTTAAAGGGCCCTTTGAACTATTCATTTTTGATAAATTTGGTATTGATACGAAAAGAAAATGGTGTTTCATTTCTTGATGTGATCTTAACTGTTGTCCCCCAGGACAGCGAGTGGTGTGTTGGCTGGCAGAAAAGTGCGGCGAAAACTAAAAATGGAAAGGATATGACTCTTCTTGGAGGTACAGTTTAGTGGTTTGTCCATTTACTCTCCGTTGATGGAAGCAGTTAAATGCTGCACTGTTTTTTCTATGTGCGCAAGTGCGTGGGTTGAAATTTATATATGCATGCCTCCGGTGATGCTTGTTTTAAATTTAAATCATGATAGAGCTGGAACTTTTGAACTGTTTCCAATTGCAGATTTGGTGCTATCGAACAGACTAGTCGTATATGATCTTGAAAATATGACTATTGGATGGACTGAATTCAACTGTGAGTTTCAATTGGTCTTTTATAATTTCTGTTGTATGATTATTGAATAACATTAATAATAATCAAATTCTGTCAAGCTTGTGTCATTGTGTACTCTTGATGAAAGCAGACATTTATTTGCATAGCATCTGTCCATTCATAAGTGCTGCCAATCGTGCTTTATTCATTATAGCACTCATTAACTTAACATTCCACTACTAATTTTTTGGACTGATCAATTGACTCTGTAATATTGTTTCTTTAGGCTCTTCCGGCATTAAGGTGAAGGACGAAACGTCTGGAAAAGTATATGTCGTGGGTGCCCACAATATATCATCAGCTTCCACTGTATTGTTTGGAAGAATACTGGCATTGCTTTTGTTGCTAATTGTCATGCCAAACAGTGCAATGAGCTAACTCTTTAAATACATGAATTAGATGCAATTTATTCAGTATTTGTTGTTAGGTTCTTTATTAAGAATATAATATGTAGATATTTTTATTTTTTTCCCTCGTAAAAGGATTTATCTACATATTATATTTTAATTAAAGAATTTAATACTACATGCCTAATTTTATTTATTCTTGTTTTTTTTTTTTGGGTAATGTACATGGGCAGGCATTCATTTGATTCTGTTGTATTTATTATATAATACCATGAGCCCGTCCTTTCAACGGCTATCCTTTCTTTCTCCTTGGACTGATTCAATAGCTTTCTTTCCTTGCTTTAAAATGATGAGGTTTATATTACAATACGAGGTGGGTGCTCCTTAAAAAATACTTCGGGTTGATAAGTGTGTCAAAAATTGTTTGAGAATACTAGGTGCTCCTAAAATATTACTCTAAAAGTGGCAAGTGGGTATTGGAGAGGAAAGGCATGCTGGCATGAGGGGCTCCATTTTAGAGCGAAACGGTGTCGTCCACAGGTAGAGGAGAGAAGCCACATTATCGATTTAGCTTGATCAGTGTTTAATCTGAGATCCACTGGATAATTATTGAATAGATTTTATTAACAATATCTCGTATGGTGCTGAGCATTTTAAAGTCCACCTCCAAATTTGTTTTGAGAAAAAATGTATTTATATTACCCACTGCTGGGTGCATTCAAGGGCCTCCACTTATTCTGCTTATGATTCTTTTATCTTGGAGAAAGGCGAAACTTGTATTCACGAGTCTTTAGGAAAGATAGTGAAGCTCGCTATTAGATCTCCCAGCCAAATGAAAGTGCAATTCTGGTGATGGTGGCTGTTTATTGTTACCTGTTTTGCTCCTCGTGTATGATCGCAAAAAAGAAAAATAATCGTCGAATGTCTCAAAACAACTAAACATCATGTAACCACAAATTCTAATTTAAAAAATAATATTACTTTCAATCCTTAATATAAGAGCTCGTTTGATTTTTATTTTGATCCTAAATATAAGACCCCAATCCACTTTATTTCTTATATTTATTTATTTATTTTTGTTCAAGATAATCCTTGTAATAATGATAGTTCTAGCCAATACACTTGATTAGTAAGAATATTTTAAAAAATATAATACTTATTTATTATAAATAACTAACTTAAATAAATTTCATAATCTATTCAAATTAGTCAACTAGCTTTTATATTAAAGATCGAAGGTACTAACACGTTTATCCTACTTGTACTCTCTTGTGATTAGGATTTTTCGGTGCTGACATTTCTTTCTTAAAACCCCTCAGTAATTCTTCTTTTCCCCTCCCTCTCTAATTTTTTTTTTTTTGTTTCCACGTTTTGCTCTTGCGTTCGGCCTCTATCTCTTCTCTTAGTCCCCTTAAAATGCCCTCTGGCCTTAAACTGAGTGAGTTCCGTTTGAATCAGCCCTGGGAGTGAAAAAAAAACAAATACGGGAATTCGTCTTTCATTGCTATTGGAGTATTGGTGTGCTGGGGTGGTGTTGCTGCGGGTTGTGATCTTACACTGGGATATAAAAATATATTAACAAGTATTTTCACGCTTTTTATATAACAAAGTAAAATTAGTTCTGAAAAACAAAAACTAAGCTGCGCACTCGAAAGATACTTGCATGTCTCCATGGCATTTGCTTATCAAACCAGTTACGATACGGTTGAGAAGATGGGAGTGGGCTTGGGATTACTGGGCCAAGACAAAGTCCAAAAGAATTAGTGGGCCAATGCATAAGGAGAAAGCGACGGATAAGGGGATAAAAGGATAAGGAAGGATATGAAATGACCAATGGGGAGGGAGGGAAGCGGGGCACAAGAGCCACAGGCTCCAAGGGCGGAGACTGACTGGATTATTTGTTGAGGGTGGGATCCTCTCACGCATCGCAAGTGCTCTCAACCATGGCCACCAGTTGCACAATGGCGAGCCAGCTCAAGTCCTGCTTCACCCCCAAGGGCCTCTCTGCTTCTTCTCCCCTCAGGCCTCTTCCCTTCCGAACCTTCAGATTCAGAGTCAAGGCCGCCCAATCCGACGATAAGGTTTTCTTCTCTTCCTTCTTCTTATGACTTGCACCACCCTTGTTCTCTTTAGTTCGTATCTTCTTATATTCCGTGTGAATGAGTTGCAGGGTGTGCTGGGTACGACCACTTACCAGGTGGTTCAGCCCATCAATGGTGACCCTTTCATCGGAAGCCTCGAGACTCCGGTGACTTCCAGCCCCCTCATCGCCTGGTATCTGTCCAACCTTCCTGCTTACAGGACGGCAGTGAGCCCTCTGCTGAGAGGGGTGGAGGTGGGGCTGGCGCACGGCTTCCTGCTGGTCGGTCCCTTCGTGAAGGCGGGGCCGTTGAGGAACACACCGTACGCGGGAGGGGCGGGGTCTCTGGCCGCCGGCGGCCTCGTGGTCATCCTCAGCATCTGCCTCACCATCTACGGCATCGCCTCCTTCAAGGAAGGAGAGCCTTCAGTCGCCCCTTCCCTGACCCTGACCGGCCGCTCCAAGCAGCCTGATCCCCTGCAAACGGCCGACGGGTGGGCCAACTTCACCGGCGGCTTCTTCTTCGGCGGCATTTCCGGTGTTATTTGGGCCTATTTCCTCCTATACGTATTGAACCTTCCATACTATTTCAAGTGATTCGCGTGTACACTGTACATTCAATTGCCAAGGCATGTCTATGTAATTTGTATTTTGTTTCTATATCACTACTATTAGCCAGAACAAGGGAGGAAGTATTCCGATTTGCACTCGTGTGGGAATAAAGTTAGGATGAAATTAATTTCGTAAAAGAAGAAAGCAAATAATTTGTTTCCAATATGAGCATGGGAACATACATTACATTACAGGAGAGACACACGGCGGAGAGAAGGGAGGAACGGGGTGGCAAAGAAGAAAGGGAGGGTTTAAGTACAGAGTTCATTGGTGGAGGGAGAGAGAAAGCAGGTCCCATCGGCTCATGGGGAGGGGCGGATTGGCAGTAGTGATAGCGTGCCCATCCCAACCGATGTGGGTCACGTGCTGCACATCTGTTGGACCCCCGATTTGCATCTCTTCTTCTTCGTCGTCTCCTCCTCCTCCTCCTCCTCCTCCTTCTCCGTCTTCTTCCAGCTCATCCTCTTTCTCTCCTGCACAGATTCAAGTATAGACAGACGTCAGAATGCGCATGGTATGGTATGGAATGCGGCCGAGTGGAATGAACGGCTCACCAAACATTTGAGACAAGCTCTTGAAACCCTTCATCAGCTTGTTTAATCCCGCGGACACGTTGGACTTGGGAACAACAACCATCCCGCTCGAGTTCTTGCCGCCTTCCTCGCCCTCGCACTCCTCCTCTGCTCATCATGTTCTAATTAGGCAAACGTGTCCCCTGAAATTACGCATTCATTAAACCAACATGTACTTACTTGTTGCGGCCGGCCTTGATTTTCTTGGCTGCGGGACCCCTACCGCTACGCTCGCCTCCGACATGCACCCCACGGAGAAAGGAAGAATCACCAGCCTTTCCATTCTGTCCCTCATGATACACACGATCTGAATCCCCTGCCCCTCCTCTGGAATCCACTCTCCCTGTGCATATATATGGGCAGCCCCTCATCGGTGGCGCCAACAGCAAGCCACCTAGGCCATCCCTGGCTTTGTTTTCAAGACATAATTATGTTACGTATCAAAAGTCCGCCTGCATTTAAAACCGTTTGGTGGGTGATATGTGTTTGGAGGAGTCACTAAATATAAGTTATCAAGGTCCCTGCGAACAAGTTTAACCTAATCAATCTCACTGCCCGCTCACTAAATATAGCCTCTAACGAGTATCATCTCGACAGGAATTGGGAGTGTATGAAGAACATCATTTTCCGCCCCTGCCCTTCACTTACCTCTCTTGTCCCATAAGCATCATATATGTGTGTGGTGTATGTATATAATAATATATCATATCCATGGATCCTTTTTGTTTACTTGTGCTGGACTCTAGCTACAAGTAGTGGATCTCAAGCGAACTCTCAGGTCCGGTCGATAAAGACCAAATCTGATATTTCTTGCATATAAAGTAGAGCGGTGCATCATTGATTGCAGGAACACAAGACTTGGGGTTTGTTGAATTACCCGCTTTCCGTTGAATGACTGAGAGTTATATTGGTGCTCATTCTTGCTTTTGGCAACCGTCTTCCAGGTCATATTTACGCGAAACCCCCGTTGCTGATCACCACATTTAATGCTCGACATATTTCCATTCAAAGATGAGATTGTCCCTTTAAGCATTCCAATTTATCGCACTGCCTGCTCCACTCCTTTAATCTAAAGATATTATGCATTTCGTCTAACATGCTACATTCTTCCTTGCTTACAAGTAATATGACTTTCAATCCATTCTGTATAAGAGACGCACATCATTAACTCTGCGTCTAGCTAACCTAACGTTGTTATTTGCAACAAGGTGCAGAGGATGAGACTGCCTAGTTTCACATTCGCGGGGTCTTCTGGTATGGATATCGCCCAGAGCCCATTCACTCGCAGTCACCCCCTATTGGAAATATTGTATATATATGTATTTCTTATTTGGTATTGTTTGTATGGGCTGACCATGTGTGTATATATGCCTGCCCGCTTTGGTGTACATGGTCAGGACTCATTATAAATAAGAGTCCAGTAGGCCCATTTGTGTGTAATCTGATATTCAATCAATGAAATATTCAGTTTCATTTCTTTGAGCTGTGCGTTTTGGGAGAGTGAAGGCAGGGCATCTTGTTCAACATGGCATCAGAGCCACACGCCGTCGTCTAGGGCTACCGATAGACCCAATCGAGGCGAGCCCTGAAGAACCTCACACACACAAACCCTACACAGCAATTCAATGGGAGAGGAAAAGATCGCGGCCGAAGCTATCCCCTTTTCACATCCCCTATTTTTACACCCTTCGGATACCCAAGGAACAGCGATCATTCCTCATATCCTCACCGGCACCGAGAACTATACGGTATGGTCTCGTGCGATGCGAATCGCTCTCCTCGGCAAGCATAAGCTTGGCTTCGTGGACGGATCGTGCAAGAAAGCAGATCAAGATAGCCATTTGCTGCCGCAATGGGAGAGATGCAACGCTGTCGTCCTGTCGTGGTTAATCAATTCGATTTCTAAGGAATTGGCCACCGGCATCATCTACTTTCAAGATGCTCACGATGTCTGGACGGAATTGAAAGAGCGTTTTGACAAGAAAAGCGGGTCAAGAATATTTGCATTACACAGGGAAATTAATTCTCTCCGTCAAGGCCCCAATTTGGTCACGGTATACTTTTCGAAACTGAAAGAATTATGGGAGGAGCAGGTGGCGCTAGTTGCTATCCCATCTTGTAATTGTTCGACAGCCAAGGCATACTTTGATTCAATCCAGGAGCAGAAATTACTCCAATTTTTGATGGGGCTGAACGAAAATTTTACACAGGCGCGCAGTCAAATCCTGCTCATGTCCCCTCTGCCATCCGTCAACGAGGCATATTCTATGATCATCCAAGATGAAACTCAACAGTTCATCAGCTATGGAGATAAAAATGTTGCGACAGAGGGACTCGCCATGACCGCCAGAGGAAGGGGTCGCGGACGTGGACGGGGAAGAGGAGAAAATCTCCCGGAATGTACCCATTGTCACAAGAAGGGCCATGTTCGTGAAAATTGCTTCCAGATTGTTGGCTACCCGGCGAATTTCAAAGGCAATAGAGGGAGACAACAGAAGGACTTTCAGCAAGGGGGAGCAGATTCCGTTAAGGATTCAGATTTTCATGGCCATGCTGCAACTACGGTCGCTCCCACTTTTACGCAAGAGCAATATGAAAAGATCCTGGAGCTGCTCAAGAAAGACACAGAACCTGTAGTGCACGCATTAACTGGTACAGGTTTGGATTTCTCCTATTCCTAGTTTTCAATCTTACACACACTGGATACTGGATTCGGGTGCCACAACCCACATGGCTGGTAAATTGGACTTATTTGACAGTTATGAACAATATTCTGGACCGATCAAAACAATTAAAATACCTAATGGAGATAGGTTAGATGTCACTCATATTGGTTCGGTCACTGTAGATGAAAGAATTATTATTCATAACGTTCTTTATGCACCCCGCTTGGAATTCAATCTTATATCTATATCGAGATTCACTAGAGAAAATAATTGCATGGCAGCCTTCTTTCCTGATCTCTGTATACTGCAGGGCCTTCAGGATGGGAGGATCAGGATGACTGGTAGAGAGTATAAGGGATTGTATGTACTAAAAGTGACCAACAGTATTCAGAATTCAGCTAATGTTGTCCAAAATGAGAAAAATTTGAAGAAGGATTGTGATATTCAATTGTGGCATAGAAGGCTAGGACATGCACCCCTATCTGTGTTAAAACATTTGAATCTTCCTTGTACTGATTCTTCTATACTGAATAAAGATTCTCATTCATGTGATGTTTGCATTCGGTCTAAACAGACTAAGTTTCCATTTAATTCCAGTGTGATTAAATCTAAGAGATGTTTCGACTTAATCCATGCAGATGTTTGGGGTCCCTACAGGAACCCCACACATCAAGGTTTCCAGTTTTTCTTAACTTTGGTGGATGATTTTTCAAGGGGGACTTGGATATTTTTAATGAGACATAAGAATGAAGCTGAATCACATGTTAAAAATTTTATTGCTTATGTTTCAACACAATTTTCAGCCACTGTGAGAAAAATTAGGAGTGATAACGGGACTGAATTTACTAACAACCAATTAAGAACTTATTTTCAAGAAAAGGGCATAGTTCACCAAACATCCTGTCCCTATACTCCTGAACAGAATGGGGTAGTGGAGAGAAAGCATAGAACCATCATGCAAATCACTAGAGGCCTTATTTTACAGTCTGGGATTCCCATTAAATATTGGGGAGAGTGTGTCAGAATGGCTGCCTATATTGTGAATAGGATACCTTCCAAAGTAATCGATTATCAAACACCTTATGAGCGTGTCTATGGGATCAAACCAGACTTAAGTCACCTAAGAACTTTTGGATCCCTTGCTTATGCTACTGATTTGAAAGCTAATGACAAGTTACAGGCCAGAGCCATCCCTAGTATTTTCTTAGGATACCCAGATAATCAAAAGGGTTTCTTGCTCCTTAACCTGAAAGAAAGTACTCTTTTTATCAGCAGACATGTTAATTTCATCGAGGATAAATTTCCTTTTAAAGATGTTAAGGATAATTTTCAAAAAGGAATAAGTAGTGATATAAAGTCAATGTTTTGGTTTGATTATGATATAACTCAAGCACCTGGGACTGTTAAGGAATGTGAATCAGTGAATTATTATGAGAATTCTTGTTCAGCTGCGGATAGAATGAATTGTGAAGAAAGAAGTGACAGTAATATAGATAGCAATGTTAACCGAACAAATCTTCCTGGTCAAAGATCCACTCGTGTGAGGAGACCCCCTATTTGGGCAAATGATTATGTTTGCTCCTTGTTACAGTTTGATTCCAATTATTCTGTGAAAGGAAATTGTAAATATCCCATTGATGATTATTTATGTTATGCTAATATATCTGCTGATCACATGTGTTTTCTGACCTCACTTGATTCTAATAATGAGCCATCATGCTATGAAGAAGCTGTGCAAAATACTAATTGGATTAAAGCCATGAAGGCTGAAATGAGTGCTCTGGAAGGTAACAAAACTTGGACAATAGTGCCTTTACCTAAGGATAAAAGACCTATTGGTTGCAAGTGGGTGTACAAAATTAAGTATAATGCTGATGGTAGTATAGATAAATACAAGGCTAGACTTGTAGCAAAAGGTTACAGTCAGAAGGAGGGAATTGATTATCATGAAACCTTTTCCCCTGTTGTGAAAATGTTCACTGTTAGAGTTGTTTTAAAATTAGCAGCAATGAATAAATGGAGTCTTTACCAAATGGATGTGCATAATGCATTTTTACAGGGTGACTTAGATGAAGAGGTTTATATGAAAATACCTCAAGGTTTTGATAGACAGGGGGAGCAAATGGTTTGCAAACTAAATAAGTCTCTCTATGGTTTAAAGCAGGCTTCAAGACAATGGAATCAAAAATTGTCTGAGGCATTGCAAATGGGGGGATTTATACAAAGCAAATCAGATTATTCTTTGTTTCTTAAACATTTTGATCATGGAGTTGTTCTTATTCTGGTTTATGTAGATGATCTGTTGATAACTGGAAGTACTAGAATCGGTATTGATGAAACTAAAAGGTTCTTGCATAGTCATTTTAAAATGAAAGACCTAGGACAAATGAAATATTTTCTTGGCATAGAGGTAGCTAAATCTGAAAAAGGGATTGTTTTGTCACAAAGAAAATATGTGCTGGATCTTTTGTTTGAGACTGGTATGACAGGTTGTAAACCATTGGGAGTACCTATGGCGCAGAGTTTGAGACTTCTTGCTTATGATGAGAAGAAAAACCGCAAGGAAGATCTGTTGAGGGAGCCAGAAAAATATAGACGATTGGTTGGTAAGTTGATCTATTTGACTATGACCCGGCCTGACATTTCTTATTCTGTGCAGACATTGAGCCAGTTCATGCAAAGGCCAACCAAAGCACACATGGCCACTGCTAGGAGTGTTCTGAGATATCTTAAGGGAACCCCTGCGCTAGGAATTTTTATCAGCTCAGAAGGGAAACCGGAGCTGGAGTGCTACTGTGATTCAGATTGGGCTTCCTGTGCAATGACAAGAAGATCAGTTTCTGGCTATCTGCTGAAGTTGGGAGGATCGCTTGTGATGTGGAAAACTAAGAAGCAACATACTATTTCGAAGTCTTCTGCAGAAGCTGAATACAGAGCCTTGAGTATGGCAACTTCAGAGGTAGTTTGGGCTATTGGTCTGTTAAAAGACTTGGGTATAAATCATGAGGGTCCAGTGAAGGTGCACTGTGACAGCAAAGCTGCGATACATATTGCAGCTAATCCGGTTTTTCATGAGCGTACAAAACACATAGAGATAGATTGCCACTTTGTCAGGGAGAAGTGGGAATCAAAGCTGATTGACTTGTGTCATGTTAGAAGTCATGACCAAGAGGCAGACTTGCTGACAAAGGCTGTAGCAGGAAATGTGCAGAAGAGTCTTTTAGGCAAGTTAGGAACTATTGATGTTTTTAAGCCCCTAACTTGAGGGGGAGTATTGGAAATATTGTATATATATGTATTTCTTATTTGGTATTGTTTGTATGGGCTGACCATGTGTGTAGATATGCCTGCCCGCTTTGGTGTACATGGTCAGGACTCATTATAAATAAGAGTCCAGTAGGCCCATTTGTGTGTAATCTGATATTCAATCAATGAAATATTCAGTTTCATTTCTTTGAGCTGTGCGTTTTGGGAGAGTGAAGGCAGGGCATCTTGTTCAACACCCCCCAAGGCGGAGTCTATTTCCATTTTTACTGTTAGGGAAAGAGCTTCCTTGTATAATGCAGACTGTGATTGTGATTTGGGTAAGAAATTATTGCACTCCAAAGGCCCACAAAGTTTAGGCTTTTGTCTCCTTTTTGCTTTTCCGAAACTTGTGTTGTCCTGGACGCCAATGGTCTCTCTGTCCGTCTCTAAGTACTGTTCAGGAGCATATGATATTCTGCTGTCCATCCAAAATTCTGCAGCAACACCAAGTCCCGCAATTAGCATAGAGCTACAGGCGTTGTTTTCTGTTTTTGACTTTTTCAGACTAATGGCAGCCTGAAAGCTCATTATTACTTAGTGTGACTTCTCCTGAAGTTTAAATCACACCTCATTCATTAACACTCAATATGATGAACTTCTAATTTATCTGAATGTAGTAAAAATGCTGCATAAATCATCAATACGATCAAAACAATATCATTTTTTATTGAATCGAGTAAACTAATACTCCCTGTTCTTTTGTATTACACGCCAAAGTATATAGTTGATTTTTAACTTAATTTTATTTCAGGTTTTAGTTTGGTTTTTTAACTCGAGTTTGAGAAATGTTCACTCATGTTGGATACTCAAAAGTTTTATTTTTTTTTTTATAAATTTGTCATGAAAATTTAAAATTATAGTTAAAAAATTAACATTGACCATTAATATAATAATATTAGCCATTAACATTTTAATAGTATAAAGTAAAATTGCTGTGATTTTAAACTTTTAGAATCAGTTTGCATCCAAAACAACTTCTAGGTGCTTAAAACTCTTTGGTGAAAATTTTTGAAACAAATTTGCACGTTAACTCTTTTAATTTTTAAAAATATATCTTCAGTCATTTAGTTCTAAAATTATTGGTCTTGAATGATGATTTTTTTTATAACAATTACAGTTGTTTTGAAAATTAATCAAACTCGATAAGCTAGTAATTGAAAACATTTTATCAATATTCAGATCTTAATATCAGCATTGTTTGTTAACAATTTTAGGATAAATAACTAAAAATATATTTTTTGAAATCAAGGATTAACTTGAACTCTTATATAAAGTTAAGAGAATAAAAGTATACTTTGGCCTCTTTTAAGTATACATTTGGTCATTTATTTTCATAGAATGTTTCAATTTGGTTTTCTAACTTTAAAAATATATATTTTAAGTCTGTTTACTTTAAAATTATTAGTCCTAAATGACAATTCTTCGTAACAATCATTGTTGTTTTGAAAATTAAATATAATGTGTTAATATTTGAGAATATTTTATCAACACTCAAGATCTTAATATCATTATTTTTTGTTAACAGTTTTAAGATTAAAAGACTAAAAATATACTTTTTGAAGTTAAGAGACTAAATTAGAACCTTATATAAAGTTAAATGACTATAAATATACTAACAAATAAGTTCTTATAATTAGAACCAGAAGAAGTATTTTATTATAATATGATTTCTAAAAAGTTTTAATATTCTTATTCATAAAAAGTTTTACAAGTTATAGTCGATAACTAATTTTTTAAAAATAATTTTAAGAATATGAACTAAAAATTTAAAACTTATGTAAAACAAATAATTGTTTTTGGCCAACAAATAATTTTGTCATACGAAAGATAAGCAGAAGAACAATAACATGGCATAGCACGTGTATAACCGGTCTGTCCAGTAATAAAATAATAAATAAATATTGACGTGTCTTTCACCTCGAGAAAAGCCAATGGTGGGTGCCATCTAGCACCACGGGGAGTCGGGGACCTAGACAATTGTAGTTGACAACTTTTTTCACTTTTATCTCGCTTCTAAACGTAAAATCTCATTATTAATTATATTTATCTATTTTTTATTAAAATAGTTCTTATAATAATAGTAATTTTAACTAATATATTTAATTAGTAAAAATACTTAAAAAAATAATACTTATTTATTACAAATAACTAATTTAATTATTTTTTTAATTTATTTAGATTAATCAGCTAATTTTTATATTAAAGATTAAAAGTAGTACATACTAATAAAAACAATTACAAGAATTAAAATTGTCATAAAATTTGAGTTGATTTTTAATGTTATTTTCATCAACCACACTAAATTTTAATATCATATTAATTTTTACTAACTCACTAATTGCTATCATCATTTTATGTATGGGTGTATATGGAAAAAAAAAACATTTGATATCAATTAAAACTATCAAGATATTTTATAAAAAAACACCAAATTTTTTTAGAAAGGCCCTTATATTTTTTGTTGATAAAGAAAGGGTCTTATAATAATCATCCCGAGGAAAAAGAAAGAAAAGAAAAGAAAAGAAAAAAAAAAAACAGTACACGCTAATTTGTTTATACTTTTTTTTAAATAAAAAAAAACTAATTCCTTAGGTTAGGTTACTACACAGCAGACTACAGACATTCATATACTCGCGCTCTATCAGTGTCTCTTCCCCACTCGCTCGCTGGGGAACAGAAACGCAAAATCAAGAAGTGGGGGAAAACCCGAAACCCCTCTGCTCCTTCTTCTTCTTCTTCTTCTTCTTCTTCTTCTGCTTCCTCTCAGATCACCTCAAAATACTCCTCTCACCCGCATTTATAATACCCCAATTTCAAATTCTCACACACTACGCGAAGACCCCTTTTATCTCTATTTCCAATTCCCTCCAACTTCGCTAGCCTGCCTCTTCTCACTCACTATTCGCTATCAACCATGCCTGCGCCAGTTCTTATCTTTATTTTCATTTTGGCCAATGCCCTCCGCTGTAATGAAGCGACTTTGCTTCGTGTGAGTATACTCCCCTTTCATATCCCCTTTTGGTTCTTCGATCTCACCTTTTTTTCCGGTCATGTTTCTGAATACTGCTTTGGATTTCCTGGTTAGGAAGAAAATGGTTCGGCCGTGGCAGTGGCGAAGCGCGATCAAGTTTCTCCGATGGTACCCGTGACGGAGGTCGGCAAGATGGAGGTGTTCATGCTGATGAATGAGAGCAGGAGGAAGTTGGGAAGCTTTCAGATATGTGCGCTTTGTACCTGTTGCGGTGGAACTAAAGGGGTTTGCTTGCCCTCTCCTTGTTGCTATGCTATCAATTGCAACATACCCAACAGACCCTTTGGCTTCTGTTCGTTCACGCCCAAGACCTGTAATTGTTTTGGATGCCATCTCTAACTCACTCTTCCTTGCTTCTCTATTATAATTATATTTATAGTTAAAATGGTTTAGCTTGAGGATTCTCCCAACGCTGTCCCAAGTGTGAATGATAAGAATACCTGTTCTCGATTTGTCCTTTTTCATTATTACTGGGGGATCATTATTTCCGGGTATTCTTTCTTACCCTTCCCCTATTTTACCAGTTATATCTGGGATTCGTTAGTGACTGATCGTGGCACATTGTCAGAATGGATATATCATATATGATAGTATGAGCTACTTGTGGAATCAGAAAATATTGTCCTTTTTGGTGGAGATATTGAGGTTCATGATAACATCTCGGTTTTGGGTGTCTAAAATAACGCTATGCTCAGTGCGTTTGTCGTTTGTGTAGGATTAAGAACTGACTTTTGCTAATTATTCTCATTAACACTGGGTTCTTGTGAGATGTTCTATCCAGATTGCAGTATCACGGGATTTTCAATTCAATACTATATGGTGATATCTGGTATGCAGCTGAGGCTTTGCTTCCGCCCTCCCTTTTGCTCATCCCGTAATTTGGGCTCACTTTCCCCAATACCAAGCATTTGCTGTCTTGTGCGGGACAAATTGCTAGTAGTTTACTTTTAATGCATCCAAGGAGTGTCTTGCTTAGATTAGATTCTGTTGTTAACTAATTCAAAATGTAAAGAGTTGTGGTAGTCATGCTGGCAACGATGAGGGAACGGGAAATTCTTGTTACTTGTTACGAGAAGCAAACCGTTGGGGCGTAGCATTTAGTTGGTACTTGTTTTGGCTGCTGATAAGATGGAAGGAGTGAAAAGTTGCAGGTGCAGCCGTGGGAAGGGTGTAGTGTAGATTGTAAAATGATGCAAGGCAAGAAGGTGATGCTGATTGATTTAGGTGGTCCCTGAATTGATGAAAGGGGCGGCCATGGTAGAGAGGGATGATTGAGAGAGGAGAGCGAGGAGTGGTAATTTGGATGAAAAGCCCGTGGGCGGGTGGCTCTTAATTTTCGGCGGATAAGATAGATGCGCAAGATATGAATGCATGTGGGTGCAGCCAACCGTATGTATTAAGGTGAGTAGTTGGTTGGGTAGGAATAGGTCAATTATGCCTTAGCTACGAACCTGCTGTACTGCTACTGCATATGAAAGTTGTTGCTTTATTGCTATATTTATTCGAACACTATGGGTGCATGTCCTCTTGATATTTGTATTTTAAGTGGTAATTAAGATACTTAGATAATAAATAATCTGCAATGATAATAAAACTTAAACTGGTGTTGGTAGTTTGAAATCATACAAGAGCACTGGCTGGTTGCTTTGTTTGGTGCCTTGTGAAGAGTGCTGTGTTGTGGGAATCTCTCTGACCTCAATTCAGCAAGGCATCAGATCATGTGCTGTCTCCGAACCGAAGGATATTTTAATTGTAAGAATCAAATGGGGATGGGTTGAATTTTATCCTTCTGATGAACTAGAGTATTGTTTACTGCTATTCACTATCCATGCTGCCCACCGCATATAAGGATAGAGAGGATAAAATTGGATAAACTTACTAGGTGCTCTCTTTTTGTTCACTAAACACTAAACCTTACTGGATTGGGGGGAACACCTGATGGCATGGGGATCTATAAGGCTAGAGAGGTAGCTGCTACTGGAGACTGCATTTATCATTTTTATTCATCCTATGTGAATTGGATAAACTTACTAGGTGCTCTCTTTTTGTCCTCTCTATATCATGAAGAGTGATTTACATGGAGACTGGTAGATGGACGTTATTGGACACAAGGTCCCTTTGCCACACTGCACTTGCCCCACTTGACCTGGTCAAGTGTTATGACATTAAAAGGGTGTTTGGAAACATCTAGAAGTAATTTTCAAAAACGTTTTTTTGTAAATCGAAGCAAACTCTTTTACATATTTACTTCGTATACCATAAAAGCACTTTTGAAACTATGATTTTGTTCTTACCCAAATACCTCTTAAAGATTACTCATTCACTAGCTAGGCATTGCGCTTTGAAGCATTTTTTTACTGTTAGTTTATACTACCTCCACTCTTTGATATTAGAGTTTGGTTGATTTTTATTTTGAAGCATTTATCCATGTTTTTCAAGATAGTATTTGTAATAATAGTAATTTTAATCAATACACTTAATCAGTAAGGATATTTTAGGAAAGATAGTATCTATTTATTACAGATAACTAAATTAATTTTTTTAATATATTCAAATTGGTTAACTAGTTCTTATATTAAGGAACGGAGGTAGTACTATTTTACTTAATATAAAAGGTAACTTGACTTTTAGTTTGATCCTGATATAAAACACAATCTATTTCGTCTTTCATATTTATCTTTTTTTTTTAAAGTAGGTAATTTTTGTTATAGTTATACATGTTAAAGGTTCTATTAAATGATAGTTTAGGTTAATATACATAATTATTAAAGGTATTTTAGGAATAATAATACTTATTTATTATAAATAGCTAACGTAACAAATTTGTTTAATCCATTTAAATTGGTTAATTAGTTTTTATATTAACAACTATTGAATACGGTATATATTGGCACTGCGTGTGCTCTGACCTAAGTGTCCCTACGTCTTCACATCTTTAAAATGGCATGAGCCTATAAGTTATATCTCATAATTATTTCCTTTTTATTTTAAACTATGAAATATTTATTAAATTTTTTAAATTATATTCTTACTCACTATCTTCACTTTTTTTGTAATTTTATTTTTTATTTAAAATCAATTTTTCATATGTTTTCGTAATTACTTTTTATGTTATTTAACCTAACAAGTGTGTAAATTAAACTGCGGGCACATCTTGTACATCAAATTGCAAACAATCCCGTGTAGCTTTTAGCTTTAAATTTTATGTAGTTAAATTTTCCTTGGCACTTGTAACAAGAACAACAATAGTATAATGATCTTAAAGCCCTTGGTAACCTCTCACCCGATATTTATCATGGTCTGTGTTCATGCTGCAGCATGCTTCATTTGACGCAAGCCTTCTAAGAAGTGATCGCTCAGCGAGCCAACCCCTAACGTTTGATCATCCCGTGGGATTAGTCTACGGCAGAAAAATGAGAGGAACTTGTGCCCATTACTTAAACGTGCTCTTCAACAAAATATACTCCTTAATTGCTTGTTTAAGTGAAGGGACAGATATTATATGTTAAGAAGTGACTGACAGTTGCGTTTGAAAACTTCAATTTAATTATAGTTAAAATCTTGAAAAATTTTAACAACAAAGTTCCAGACGAAAGCTGTCTTAGGTGCAAACTATGATACTTGAATGTTGTTGCTTTATGATTCACAATTTTTATTTTTTGTATTTACAATTGTTTGAATGATATTTATAATTTTGAGAGCTATTTTTTATTAAATTAAAATTTTAGACCCAGTTGTCATTCTCCCTATGCTAAATGAGCGCAATAGCAAAAACGTTTTCTCAAATGAAACAGCCTTCTTCGAGAAACTAACATGTTTCAAATCTTCATTCTTTTTCCTGATGCAGGAATATTCACCTAATGGCAACACTAATACACAGCTTCAGAAATTCCTCGTCAATCTAGGGTCTAACGGAAACATGTCCTTAAATCCCATCTTTTATTTATTTCCGGACTACAAAAATATGTGTTTACGAAAATGAAGATGATGATATTTGATTGATTCGAACATAAAGAAGGAGGCAAACAAACAGGAAGCCCAGTTGCAGGAGGATTCAAACAAACCAAGCAGAAGACATCGACTCCCAGAAAAGCTAAAAGCAGAGAGACAGAAAATTAACAAAGAACAAAACAGTCAACTGGGTGTCTGAATTTCATTTCCGGGCCCCTCAGCTCATCTATTGGAAACAATGAAAGCTGTAGGTGATTTGGTCACAGCAGCCAAAATATCAGCATAACCAACCACGCCAACTAAAACATCGTCGTCCTCATCCTCGGTCACCCACACATGAGTAGCCCTGTGAGATAGCATCTGAGCCATGACAGCAGCCAGTGAACTAGTAATTTTGCACGTCAAAGGGGCACTTCGTCCCCTATACATGCTCCTGTTGGCACCAGCGCAAGAGTTTGCAGGATTATTAAAAAACCCAATATTCCTGCTACTGAATTTCCTTGGGCTCCTTGAACTACTACCATTAACTAGATTATCATCACCAGCTGTTGAATTTACACACAACTCAGGCATTGACCTTGGTGAAACATTGTCCTCAACTCCCATAACAAACTGCTCAGCAGAGAGATTGGATAGAGCCCAAGCTGCGGCTAAGTAATCACATTTCCATAATTTACATGCAGAAATCTCTCCAATGATTTTATGCTGACTGCCTGGTGTGGTTTCTATCACCGCAACAGCACTTGGGTCTTCAGGAAGCTTTCGAGTTACGTCAATTGCTGGACTTGAGGATTCAATAAAATTGTAGTTTGCATTAACCGCTCCAAGAGCAGCTATAGAGGTGAGAGGAAGTGGGGCCAGAGCTCCAAGGCAACCAATGATAAAGCGGAGGACATCTTCTCTAGAGAGACAGCAGAATTTGTCACGAATAGAACTATTGGGAGATGAGGAACCCCAATTCTTGTTTGCAGGTAAATTGTTGCTGCTACTGTTAGGAGTTTCAATATTTTTGAGCCACTTGCCATTGTAGAGAATTGAGAATCGCTTGCTCATGCCTTTCCATGCTATACTCTTTGGAACAAGCAGACGTCTTACCCCTTGCTTCATCATATCCAGCGCATCTATCAACCTTAAGGAAAGCAAGGAACAACACATTATCATTGTGTTCTAAGACTATTGCCAAGATTAAACTGACAGTTCCAATGTTCAAATGTTAACTTGAAATTTCAGCTACGAAAACAAAATAGTTCACCATTTTAATTACTCACGTGACTAGTTTTGTTAAATTAAGCCTGAAAATGCACAAGATGGTTAAATAGCAGTCAAACAAATAATGAATGTCTTGAATGAAAATTCAAATTTTAAACCATAAAAGGATGGAATAATTTCAGGCCAATCCATCTCTGCAATTCATATGGACTAAATATTCCTTGCACAAAATTTCTGCAGAAGAGGCTTATAAGTTCCAATGACAACATATACAGGTAAAAAAGATGACCAAAAAAAGAAAATCCATGACTTCTACATAGAACAAACCCACACACTATCAGTTTCTCCTTCTATTCACATGCACGTAAAGGTAAATATCCTATGTGCTTGCAAAACATTACGGATATGTGCTAGCAAATAGAAACATATAAACATCGTCTAAAATGGCTTCAATGTCCATTAAAGCAGAAACATTTTTTGTTAAACATAGTTATCATCACAACTAAAATTAATATAACTCAGCATTATATCCAGAGCTAATATGCGGAAAACAACTTTGTCATATCTTCTCCTATCGACTGATAAAATTCGATTGCAATAATACCAAAGCTCATAATTATCCAAAAAAAAAAATTAAAAGTAAATAATGCATCCGATGCAATGATATGAACAAGTCTAGTTTGTCGGATAACCTGGTTGCGGGGTCAACCAGCCTCAGGAGAGAACTGTTCGGAACAACAACCTCAGAAACAGGGGTGTTCAGGGCCTTATCCCGATCCTCGAAACACTGGCTCTTTGCGAGGAATGCAACTATATCTAAGGAATTGAGGATGCCGACAAATCTCTGCTGCTTCATTTCACTATTCTCGATCATAGCCAAGTGTAATCGCTTTTTCCAGACGGGTATACTGCCCTCTGGCGAATCTCCTATCGCCCGAATTGCCGACTCCACGGTCTCCGTCTCATGGAATTCCCCCAGCTCCGGCTTTCCCACAGTCAGATCCCCCACCACGTGGTAAAGGAACACTGATGCCATTCAAATCCTTCCTTTTTCCTATCAACAAACAGGAAAGAAGAAACAGATCAAACTGGGGCCACTAAGGCAAATATCAGAAAAATCAAGCAGCGAAATATCCCCTGCGGACTCGGTTAAGCAGCGCGATCATGTTTTTTAGGAAATCTCAAAGGTTAATAAATATCGCCATCAGTAGCGGGAGAACTAGGAGTTAGAGAGGCAAAGAGAAAGGAGATGTGTTCAATTTGTTTTTCCCTGATCGAAAAGAAAGGGTCAGCCTCACCTGCGGTAACTCGGAATCGGAGGAGATGTATGATTTTGGGGAAGGAGTGGAAGAGGAAAGGAAGATGGAATGAGTAAAAGGAGAGGGGGGGGGGAAGAAAGGGAGGGTAAGAGTTATAAGAGGGAATGGAGGAAGATGAGGAGAAGATGAAGGCCGGTGATGGGTAAACGGTAAAGGATCAAGAGGAAAGGGACGGAGTTGGAGGGAGCCATGGAGGAAGGAATGGAAGAAGAGACAGGAAAAGGCCCATGAAAGATGCAGATATGGGGGAGGCAACGGAGACCCAGTCAGGGACAAAATCGGTGGTGGAAGAGGGCGATAGAGTGAGGGGATTATGGATCCTCTTGCTCTGGCGTCGATAAAATAATAAGTGCGTCAATTTCTGATGCCATGTCCCGCCTCCGCTGCTCCTGGATTCCACTCTCTCCTTCCCGTCACTCATCTCATACTCATGTGACTCCTCCCATTTCACATATCTCACTTACGTAAAACAGGCTTTTTTTTTCTTTCCCCTTTTTGGAGATTCACACAGATTTATTTCAAGAATTCAAGTGTTTTGTGCTTTTGTGAGCATTTGCCAGGAGTTTTGTTTTATAATAAAGGCCTTTGAAGTGGAAAAAAAAATTGTTTTTTTGGGGGGGGGGGGATTCCTAAGCTATTGTATCCGTCTAATTTACCACGACTAATTGCGGAGGAGGCCCCCTCGTTACTACAGTCCCTATCTGCCAAAAATTGTAAACTTTCACTTCAAAAATATCCACAATATTAGATTTAGGACCACGTCACTGTCATTGCCTCAATCATAAAATGTCTCTTGTTATTATCAACGGTTGTTTTGAATTTATTCCAAGTCATTCATAAACAAATATAAAACTTGGAATCAAATATTTGAAATAATTGAGCGAATCAGCACAATGAGGAGCATGCGTGATTTAATTAAATTGTGCAGCCAGGTTCCGTGCATGTTTTGATTGGGCCCAAAAGCGCGGCGTCGCAGGGCCTTCTCCATTTCATTTCCATCTGTGGATATGGGCCCAAAACAATTTTGCCGCATAAGGTGTTTCAAAGATGGGGCAGAATGGGTTGAGCCATATCCTGATCTGGGTGAGCTTTCGAAACTAAACTCACTCACTTCATTCTTTTTAATAAAAAAAAAAGATGGTTGCATTGTTAACTGTGTTATTAAAATTGTAAAAATATCATTTTTGTATTTTGTAGAAAACATGTTGTTAAATATTATACTGAACTTGTTAATAGAGTTACAGAACTTGTTAATGACATTACTGAAGTTATAAAAATGCTACTTTTTTAATTTTCTGAAAAAACCTATTATTAACTACTATACTAAACTTATTAATAACATTACAAAACTTATTAACCGTTTTACCGAAGTTATCAAAATTGGAAAAAAAAATAGTTGCTAAAGTTATAAAAATGCTATTTTTTTAATTTTTAAAAAAATATGTTATTAAATACTATACTGAAGTTATTAATAGAATTACGGAACTTGTTAACAACATTATTGAAGTTGTAAAAATGTTACTTTTTGAATTTTTTAGAAAACCTGTTGTTAACTACTATACTGAACTTGTTAATAGTGTTATGAAAGTTGTTAATCATTTTACTGAAACTGTAAAAAAAATTTTACAAAATTGTTGCCGGTCACCGGAGCTCCGGCAACTAATTGTTGGCCAGCTGCCGAAGCTCCAATCACAGTAGCCATCTGAAGGATAATATGGTTATTTTGGCAAATTTAAAAATTCCAAATTGGTCACTTGTGTCTAAGGGGGTGTTTGGATAGAAACCAAACCATGGTTTCAGAAGTGCTTTTACGGATTACGAAGTAAATATGTGGAGGAGGTTATTTCATTTTGCAGAAAAGTGATTCTGAAACCTAGGTTTTGGTTTTGTCAAACACCCCCTAAATTGTTATTTTGCAAATTCAACTTACCATTTTGACATTTTCAAGTTGAAGAGTTATTTTTGTGTTATTTTTCTTTTATAAAATATTAAATAAATATAAAAAAAAATTTTGTCTTGATTTAGTAGACATGCTTGTTATCATGTGTTCCAAACATCTCGGCGAGATACTGTGTTCGAGAAGCTAAAAATAATCCCCATGCTTCACTGCCCAGCCACCAAAAAAAAAAAAAAAGGTGCTGCGGAGCGGATCGCGTCTCGAAGAAGCCAGATTTCCTTTCGTGAACTGCAGATGATGAAGAGAGCGTCGTTGTGCACGCTTCAATGCGCCAACCAGTTGTCGTTCTCACTTTTCGGACAGCACCCCAGCAGTGAGTGCTCTTGGTGATTCCAATCTCCATCTTCATCTTGGGCCTCTGGCTAGGGTTTCTTTCATGGCCCCCATCCTCCTCCTCCTCCTCCTCCTGTCTTCTGTAAACCCTTGCCTCCCCCTCGATATTCACCCTCAAGACAAATCCTCTCTTCTCCTTTTCCGCTCGTGGCTCCATGACCCTCCCGCTCCTTGTCCTCCTGGCTCCCTTCTAATCCTAACTGCTCTTCCTGGACTGGCCTTACCTGCCACCCCCTCTCCCGCCGCGTCGTCTCCATCAACCTCACCTCCCTCCACTTGTCCGGCCATTTTCACCCTCGCTTCTGCCTCCTCCCTTCTCTCACATCCCTCATTTTGTCGCGCAATCACTTCTCTTCCCCTCTCCCCCCCTGCTTCGGCTCCTTCAGTTCTCTCTCCACCCTTGATCTCTCTCACAATCAATTCCGCGGCGCCATCCCTCCCTCCTTCCTCCGCCTTTCCCGCCTTTCTCATCTTATCTTGCACGGCAATCCCTCTCTGGGCGGTCCCCTCCCTCTGTGGATTGGCAACTTCTCTGCTTATTTGCAAACCCTTGATTTGGGTTTCAACTCCTTTCGCGGACCGCTTCCGCTCTCCCTTCTTCTCCTCAAATCCCTCCGCTATTTGAATCTCGAAAACAATCGTCTCTTCGGCACCCTCCCTGATTTTTACCAGCCTTTGGTCTTTCTCAATCTTGCTTCCAATCGCTTTTCAGGTACTTTGCCCTGCTTTGCTGCTTCTGGTGCCTCTCTCGCCGTTTTAAATTTGTCCAACAATTCTATTGTGGGTGGCCTGCCTACCTGTATTGCTTCCTTACAAGCACTCACTCATCTAAACTTATCATTTAACCACTTGACGTACAAAGTATCTCCTAGGCTTGTGTTCACCCAGAAGCTCCTCGTTTTGGACTTGAGCCATAATGACATCTCTGGTCCTATTCCGAGTAAGCTCGCGGACACCACAGACAAAGTGGGCATTTTTCTTCTTGACCTTTCTCACAATCAATTCTCTGGTGAAATTCCGCTGAAAATTACGGAACTGAAGAGCTTGCAGGCTTTGTTCCTCTCCCACAATCATCTTTCTGGGGAAATTCCTGCTCGAATTGGAAATTTGACTTACCTTCAAGTCATTGATCTCTCGCACAACTCTTTGTCTGGTACCATTCCGTTAAATATCGTTGGCTGCTTTCAGCTGCTTGCCTTAATACTTAACAACAACAACCTCTCTGGTGCAATTCAACCCGAATTTGATGCATTGGATAGCTTGAAGATATTGGATATAAGCAACAATGGGTTTTCTGGGGAGATTCCACTCACTCTGGCGGGCTGCAAATCTCTCGAGATTGTAGATTTTAGTTCCAACTATCTTTCTGGATCCTTGAATGATGCAATAACCAAATGGACGAACCTCAGGTATCTTTCTCTGGCTCAAAATAAATTCAGTGGAAATCTGCCCAGTTGGTTGTTCACCTTCGAAGAAATAGAAATGTTGGATTTCTCTGGGAACAAATTTTCCGGCTTCATCCCTGATATTAATTTTAAGGGTGGCTTATTGTTTAACAAGATGGGCATCCCCGTTAGGGAGCCATTTGGAGCATCAAGAAATGTGCAATTGAAAATTTCTGTAGTTGTCGCTGATAGCAATCAATCCAGCTTTAAATATATCCTGTCCTCAGTAGTGGGGATTGATCTATCCCACAATTTGCTTCGCGGGGAGATTCCCAAGGGTCTGTTTGGACTAGCTGCCTTAGAATATCTGAATTTGTCGTGCAACTTTCTTGATGGACAGGTCCCAAGTTTGCAGAAAATGCAGAGTTTAAGAGCCTTGGATTTGTCACATAATTCCCTGTCTGGTCAGATTCCAGGAAATATTTCCAGTCTTCCAGATCTGACCCTCTTGAATTTTTCTTTTAACTGTTTTTCTGGGTATGTACCCCGGAAGCAGGGGTATGGGAAGTTTCCCGGTGCATTTGCTGGAAACCCAGATTTATGCTTGGAATCATCCAGCGGAAGATGTGATAAAGCAAGAAATGCATCAATCAAAGGGAAGTCTTTTAAGGAGGATATGATGGAAGGACCAATATCTGTGGGGATTTTCTTTGTAAGTGCCTTTGTTAGTTTTGATTTTGGTGTTGTTGCTCTCTTCTGTTCACCTCGGGCAAGAAATTACATCCTCCAGACCAAAGTTTGATGTAATGCCCGTGATGATAACAAATCTTCACCTGTAAATTCCCTCTCTGTTCTTTCTTTCAATAATGAAAATTGAAAGTTTTTTTTTAAATATGTTTATTTATTTTATGTAATTATTTTTTTTAATTTTTTACATGACAACAATAATTTAAATTTGAACTATCAGCTTTTACCGTACTCGAATTGATTTGTATTTTCATTTTCTTGTATCCTTTAAAGAATTATAATTTGGATTTTAAATGCTGTGTTATGTTTGTATTTACTAATTTATCCAGTCAACATTCAAATATCTTTTTTTAGATGATGATGGTTAAGGATGAGTGAAATTTTAATTTTCGTTATCAGATTATAGAACCGTGGTTAAATTTTGTAATGTGGACTTTTTTTTCTTCTAACATTTATTTATGGTGTTCTAGAATTGCATTGTGCAAGTGAAGTACTTCCTCCCATTGAAACGAGCTAGATTTGCATGCATATGTACTTGCTAGTTTCTTTTTTTTCTTTTTTTTTTAAACCAGACTACTTGCTGGCTCTCTTTTTTTTCCCACCTTAACCAGAGTACTTGCTAGCTTTAGCGTACAGATATTTTGGCCCAGAATGATCAGATATCTTGATCCTATTTAGAAACTGAAGTGGATTGTCAGTAGACGCGCCCTCGTGCGTGAGCTTCTTGTTAACATAGACGGAATGATCAGGGATCTTGAATCTGTACAGTAACGTTGGTTTTTTTTTTTTTAAAAAAAAAAAAGCTACGGTAACCGACCTTTTCACCCCACATGAAAAATTCCCCGCGGTTGGCAGTGTTCTTGTCATCTTTACGTGATTTGATGTGAAGTGATATTTTCACCTTCATGGTTTCGGCAGCCGGTTGCCAGGCTTATTAAAAAAAGAAAACAAAATCATGAAATATCAGAATCCCTGCTCTCTGGAGGTGGGAGGTACGATTGTTGTCAAGAGAGACCGCGGGATGATGCCAGACTCTCGATCTGTGCATTCGGTGGATTCAGTGAAACAGAGAATCCATAATCATGACTTATGACGCTCATCGATCAAACTGCTATGAATTCTTTACAACAGAAAAGCCATAATCAATGTTCCGTCTCACCCACCCTTTCTGCCCGATGTACCAAATTCACATCAGGTCCGTCCATAAGTCTCATGTGCTTCGTGTAGGTCAGAGCCAACCCGTTCTTAATATTATTGGTTATATGTAACAGCATGTCCTTTCCCGTGACCACTCCAACACGTTGACCGGCTGCCCCAATTCAATATGTTGAATTAAATTAAATAATTGCCCATCAAAAAGGCTGTCCATGGCTTGCTCATCCCCCAGTCATCTACTGAGAACTGTCTGTACTATGCTCTATCATCGCCATTCTCACGGCTCCATTTCGACATTACTGACGCCCTATGTTCTCCATTCTACCACCGTAGCAGCAAGTCGTCCTGTCCTAATATTTGATAGGACCGTCCAGGCTGCCAGACGCAAACTGCCACCTCAGAAGGGAAAAAGAAAATGAGACTATTGTATGAACTAATAGAGACGGTAATAAAACAACGTGTATTTTGCTCCTAAATTCCAATAATCCGACTAGCGAAAAGGTAGCTTTTCATGCCAGTCCTTTTGTTTTTGCATTTACGCCAGGAGAATCAAACTCCATAGTGTAACAACTTCGAAAGATCCCATCCGTAGTTATTTAAGCCCACACACACACACACCCCCCAAAAAAATAAAAAAAACTAACCTGTTGGACTATTGGATTTGGTGATGTGGTAAAGTCATGCGTCATTCCTTCCCAGACAATCTTACCCTTGTGTAAAAATAATAACCTGTATTCACGCAGTGACTTGTTAGGAAGAGGGTGCGTCAAGACCAGGCTGAGCAAGAAACAGTTTAAGTAAAGGACCTGCAAACTTTACCTGTCAATAGCTCTTTTAATGGTACTATGTTGGTGGGTGACAACTACATAAGATGCAATCTTCCCAGGCTTTCCAAGAGCGTCACGTCCTTTTATGTGAACAGAGCGGATCAGATCCTCAACTACTGTAGAAGCTATGGGATCCAGTCCCGCAGTTGGTTCATCATACAAAAGCACCTGTACAGTATTGCAGACAAGTCATTTACCAGGGGGAGGGAAGGGGACTTTGCAGTTAAATTTACAATATATAATAAGCAGTAAGAGCAGCAGCAGTAACTAGGAAACTCAGCATCTTCATTGTGACCGTAGACACCATTGACATTCTGTCATGCCAAAACTAACAGCAAGAACAACAGGCGGTTCAAGGAAGACAATTTGGACAAGGGAAGAAGCGGAAAGAGAAGGGGATTGCATGGAATTATCATCCAAATCGTCTAATGTAGTAAAAGCGCAGGGTTATTAAGCCTCCAACAACAAGCATAGGAATACAGTTTGTTAAATTCCTGTTTCAATTGTTAGAAAACTTGGGCAACAGGCTCAAATTTTTTTTCATTGAAAAAAAAAAACCCTTCCAATGAAATTCATGATATAAGAATTAAACTTGTTCCCAGGTGCATTTGCCTTCTTCATTTTCTGCAGTGATCGGGGGAGTATTTCCCATGAGTTTGGATGATGTACTATGTTGGATTAATGAAAGTAATTGTGTTTCATTCTCCATACCAGTAGCCTCTTGTATTCCCTGTGCTATTCTGGCAATATTATATCGGGCTAACATTATACTTTAAGGGTATGTTTGGTTTAATTCTGTAAAGCTTAATTCCTGTTAATTGTGATTCCACTCCCACATATGGTCCATTCGGTTTGTCTATTTTAGTCTGAATGCTGATTCTCGTGGCAAAGCCTATTACCACTTTTCATGGAATAAGGACTCTTCAAAAAAACCTATGAATTCTCATTCCTAGTTGTCTGAATCAACATGTTAACAACTTTACCCTCTTCTCTCTTTCTCTTCCACTCTCCCTTTTGACTTCCTTAGTCTTCTCCCTTTGTCAGTCCCCTCGTCCACAATCAGCAGCGTTACCGTCACCCTCATCTCCACCTCCACCTTCAACCTCATTACGAGCCATCATCCTCTTCTATGGCATTGTCTGCTTGTTCGGAGTTCCAACACAGCCAATCCGCTTCTCCAATGTTTGAACACAGCCACCATTGAACTAGGAGTGGTTCAAGGAAGAAAACAGTCTAGCTCATTATGCACCTTTTCATTTTGTTGATTTGATTCGTTGGATTTAGGTTGAATTTGATTTCTGATTTTGTATTTGCATCTCCTTCTGATTCTATTGATGAAGATGAAAGCACCGGTGAGGAAGAAGGGAGATGACTGAAGGAGGACTGGGGAAATATTTTTCAGGATTGAGGCATTTTTCTATTTTTACTTCTATTTATATCTAATTAAAAATTCTAAAAAAATTCCAATATCATAACAAACTTGTTCACAATGATCATCATTTCATTCCATTCTATTACCATTCTTTCTATAAATAAAACTGGCCCTAAGGTGAACAAAATTTTAGCAGTCAACATACCTCTGGTTCTATTGAATCATTTGTAGTGTCATAAATAATGGACCGAGCCAAGGCAACCCGTTTTTTCATCCCACCAGACAACTCCGAAGGCAGCCGATCCTCAACACCCTGTAAAACAAAATGGTCGGACAAATTAGTCTACATGCTAAAGACAGAATGTCAATGCAGCAATGGTCAAAGAAAAATGAAGGAGAGTGAATTACGTAGTCTAGCAACATGTCTGAAAACCCTTTTAATTTTCAGAAATTGCAATTTTCTCAACACTGTTACATAACAATTCAATGCCTAGATCACGTAATGGTTGCAACAAGTATCGACACATGTAATTTGACATGTTCAGATGGGGGAAAAAACAATATGCCTATAATCGGACAGAAAATTGCATGAAGTACACCTTTAATCCAACAGCCGCCAAGCTTTCCTTGACAAGCTCTGAAATTTGATCCTCGGACATGCTTGAGTGTTCGTACCTGATCAATAACAAAGCTGGGGCTATTAAATAAAAGAATATGCAACAACAGCAAAATAAATTAAATTTTTAAATTTTGTCACCCCAAATATTAGGACCAAATCTTACAAGAGAAAACCAACATTTTCACGTACAGTCAAAGAATCAAAAAGAGCTGCACTTTGGAACACCTGCAGACAAACAAATAAAACCACAATGAAAAATTACTAGCAGTGAAGAATAAGCATAATGCATATAACACTAAAACTTACTAGTCCAATCCGAAGACCAGATATCTCTTCATCGCTTATCAAACCAGCCCTCTTTTTACCTCTAATGTAAACCTCTCCCTTCTCATTCAACAGATATAATATGCAAGAAATAAAGTAGAATTTGTTTAGAAACAATTTGGTTTAAATTAATGTCACTAACCCAATCTGAATGTAACTGCATGGTTACCTTGTCCGGAGCAAGCAATCCTGCGATAATCTTCAAGACAGTAGATTTGCCAGTCCCAGAGGGACCGATTATTCCAACAGCTTCCCCGTGTCTGATCTATTCATAGTCAAAAAGATGAAATGAGGTCAAATATTCAGCAAGCTCCCTAAAGCGCATAATGATATCCGTAAGACCTCCTTTTTGAACAGAATAGCAGTCATGCTGATTATCGCACCTTGCCAATATTTTTTCCTTTTTTCCTAATTTCATACAAGCATGCCCAGAATATACAAATAAAAAAAGAAACAAAATCAATGGAAGGATAATTACCTTGAAGCTCACACCATTTAGGATTTTCTTTTCCCCAAAAGACTTGTAGACTTCTTTGCACTCAATAAGAACATCAGAATCGTCCTGAAGATCCCCTATTGTGTTTAAGTGTTCTGATTCAGAAGAACCCTACAGATATACTTGTTATCAGCTAACCAAAAAAGAGAATAAAAGGTAAATTTCTCATAAACCAGGGATATTCAACTCCCAGAAGCTAAGATACGATAAAACTAAGGGAAAACGAGTGATCATCAAAATAGAGACACAGGTGGGTGTATTACAGGATAAATTCCTGTATTGCAGCACTTGCACAGGGAATCAAATGGCTCAAATTAGGTAAGGTAATAAACTATGTTGTGATGCATGCACAAAAAACAGCCAACAGGGCATGAACAAAATGGTAATAGGGAACAGGTAGAATAAAGGATTGCACGGTGCAGAGCAAAAGAATAGTTATTACATGCAGACAACAGTGCTAGGCAGCAAGCAATGACAAAACGACAACGACGACGCCAACCAGTAGGGGAAGTAGGCTCGCAAGAAGCGGTCTAGAGGAACAACGAAACGGGCATTGAAATAAAAAATCGAGACAAGAACCATCAAATTAGCTGTGTTTAGAAACAAAATACTACAGAATTACATTAAATTTAATCGCCGATGACTCATCGCTCATCAAGTTTCGTGGAGAAGCCGCACAAGCACAAGCACAAGCAGCCTTCCTATGCTCGTTGCTTTGGGCAGCATAGAATGAATTTATCGCCCTCGCATCTGCAGCCACAAATTTATTCGATCGAGAGACACCATGTTGTATGGACGGAGGAAACCATGAAAAGCTTAATAAGGAAACCATTCGGCTTGGGAGCAATGGGTTTCTTTATTAGAGAATTAGGGGTCTCGGGTTAGATAGGCTATAACCAGAAAAAGCAAAAGCCTTGCCAAATTGCTTAGACTTGTGGGAAATGAAATTGAGTGATATGGAAGCAAGCAGGGGGGAATTTGTGAGCTGGAAAGCCCTTTAGCAGAAGGAAGCAAGTCCGGGGAACCCGAATCGAATTGCAGGTAATAAAACCCTGACTGAACGGAGGCACGCGGATGAATGTCGGGCAAAAATAAGAAGGCGAGAGGAGAAATGCCGCGGGTGGAGCTGGACGGTAAGGAGGGAATTGATCAGCGAAATACGCTGCGTTATTAATAATATAACTCATCTTAACTGAACTGATTGATTAATTTGAAGTTTGGTAAAAAAAAAAAAATTATTCATTTAAAGAGATTAAAAAAATAGAATAAATTAATTATTTATAATGAATAGATATTTTTTTTAAATATTCTAACTAATCAAAATATTTATTAGAATTAATATTATTAGAAAGATTATTTTTAAAAAACATATATAAATATAATAGGCAAAATAAATTAACATCTTATATTTAAAATCAAAATAAAAAATAAATAAAGTCTGTATCAAAGAAGGAGTTAGTAGTACCATTCTCTCGACACCCGACACCCAGTTCCAATCTCTTATTGTGCCGGATATGCCCATGCCCTAGAGCATCTCTCTTCTTATATTTGACCGCCATTCTCTCAACACCCAGTTCCAATCTCCGATTTACACAACGTGCCGGATATGCCTACGCCCTAGAGCATCCCTCTTCTTATATTTGATGAATAATCATCCGATCCCAACATCCGCTTGACCGTTTTTATTATTGGGTTAATGTAATTTTTATTCTTCAAATTTATTCTTATTTTAATTTTCATCCTTCACGTTTTAAATCATAAAATTTTGGTTTTCTAAATTTTTTTCATCTAAAATATTCATTCCAATTATTTAATGAAAATTTAAATCATTTTATTCCTTGACAGATTAAAAAACATGTTTAGTTGGATTACAAGAATAAAGATTACATGTAATCCTAATAAAAAAAAAAACTGATTCATTTGTTCCATTTAACTTTTGTAATATAAAGAATGTTACATTTTGTAATATAGATTACCTATAATAATGTTAAGATACACATGAACGAGAATTACAATATATGAGAATCTGGTTAAAAGACACTATTAGCCCCCACCTTCATGGCCTCCCTGACCACACAACCACCTTCTTATGTCTCTCTTCATCCACTATCCTCCTTCGTCATCTCCATTGCCACCTTCAAGCTTCATTATTATGGGTGCGTCAGCTTCGTTCCTTGTGAGTGGCACCACTCATTAAACCCTCTCCATTCATTGACTTCGCCACCACTGTTAACATGGTGATTAAATTCAGGAGTCGAGTTATTTGGGGCTTCCCTGTAGATCTCAAAAATTTATCATAAGATTCTCAGTAAATACCTCCCATGTGGAACTGACTTCAAGTGAAAACCATTACTAAAAGGAGGCTGGAAATAAAGTGGGTAAAATAATAGCAGTGAAGAAAAGCTACGGCCACTTACTTCAACAATAAGTGATCAGGAGATAATGGCAATACTTGCGATCTGGCTTCTCTCCTTTGCTATTTCCATCTGCTGCTGCACGATGCCACAAACGACGTCGTTTTTAGCCAAAATAAGAGAATAAACTCGTTAAAAATGCCGAATGAGCCAGAGTGGGAAATGACGCACGAGAGGGTAAGGGAGAAAATAGCATCACACTGGTGAATGGCAGCGTGCGTAACAAATGACTAAAAAAATTTACTCCATCGTCACTAATTTATCTCATTCAAGTGTACTTAATAAAAATCGAGAGTAAAGTGCAAATCATATTTATTTGAGTTTTATGTTTTAATTTAGGGTGAAAGTCCAACCAGGCCTATAAAGTTTTTTTCTAAATACATCTCGTATTTTAAAATATTTTGTAATGTATCCGGTACTTTGAAATATTTTTTAGTGGCATTCAGTATCCTATAGTATTTTTTAATGCAATTTTACTCTTAAAAATTGAGGGTGTTGGAGACACCAAAACTTACCATCTTTAAT